ATTATCGCAAATAAAGGATTATAATTAACCTCACTATCGTAAGCTTAACTAAGGGATATGTTACGTAAGTATACGCCCTTAGTAAGAACTATCTAGCTTACCTAAGTTAGTTAAGTACTTCTATATATACTCGTAGATTACTCTATACTCTCTAGTAGCTTTCCTTCTCTTCTAGTTAGTTAATACATACCTTCTTACCCGTATTCTACTACTCCCTTTATGCGTAACCTATTAAGCCATACGTAGCTCTCGCTAGCTACGTAACATATATCCTATTTATACCCGACTATTCTCGATTCGTTTCTAATTATTATTCGTCCGGTAGTATTGAACAGGAGCAGCGTGGGCACGCTGACGGAGGCACGAAACAAGGACTGCCCAACTGCCAACAACTGGCCCAGTGCCGATCAACTAAGATCACAGCTGTAAACAGCTGTAATCGGTTGATCGGCCAGCTGAAAACGGCAGCTGGGAAAGGGAACTAGAAAGGGTAACGAGGAGGATGGCTAGAAAGGCATGGCAGGAAACGAGTGAATGGCTGTAGGCTGTAATATCTACAGGTCTAAGTCTGGCTGATGAAAATATAAGTGCGCGACCCATATAAATATACATCGAAAAGGCTACGTGGCCTAGATCCACCGCACTACTATAGCCTCCCTAGTTCAATTAATCCGTAAGGAGTAATTAAACTCCTAATAGCAACAGGTACGGTAGCTCTCGTTCCTATTGAACCTAAATAACCTAATTAACCTAATCCCGATTAACCCTGATTAACTAAAAGCTAGCTAGTTTAATCAAAGGCCAATAGGATAAGTCAGGTAGGTCTCTGGTTAATCCTGAAACAACGGGAGATAATTACAACTGCAATAAGTAGGTGGTAGGGTAGGTGACTGCAACCGTGCCTGATCCTAAACCTGAACCTAATTAATCCCGAACCTGTTTAATCGCTACTAACTGGGAGCTGAGCCAGTTTAATTAACGATTAATAGGAAATAGGAAAGATCTAATAATAAGAATAACTGGGCTAGCGGAGCTGTAACTGTAACTAACCTGATCAACCTGTTCCTAATTAACCCTGATTAACTGAGAGCGAGCCAGCTCCATTAGGGCCATTAAGAAATAATAGGGATCAATAGTTAGGAAATAGGAACTACAACGGGCAGGTAAAATAAGCGTAGCTCCCGTGAGAAATAAAGAAATAATCCCATACGATGTAACGTGATCTCCGTCCTTCTCGTCTATGGCTGTTTTTTGCCGATCCTTTTTAACTGATCCTGATCCTGTAAACTGACTGATATATCCTATTCATGCCCGACTGTTTCCGTTTTTAACTCGTATCTGGCTGTTCTCGTATGACCGTTATTCGTCCGGCAGTATCTACCGGGCTTTCCTTAACCCTCGATCCCTCCCTTATACGTGGTTCTAGGGGCTCTGGCTCTTCCTACTAGCCATATATCGGTAAGGGCGATAAGAGGGGTCTCTAGGCGTTACTATTCCTATGGCTGTTTCTAGGCTGTCTTATTTAATATCTTATCTATTTCGTATCGCGGTATCGTCTGTATGGGTCTTTTGATCCTAATCGGTACGTCCCCGATTAGGCTTATAGCGTAGGTATAAGGTATATCGGTATCTTCTCGTGGTAATTAAGGGCATCGTAGTACCTATCGGTTAGGGAGAAACCTCCCTAGGTACCGTAACTAACTAGTAGGGATAAAACAAGGGTAATTAAGATAGCAAGCCTCTTGCGGTTAAAATAAACTAATTAATAACGAACGGATGCCTTTAAGCGCGTGTTATAAAAAGGGGTAGTAGCGGTAACTTGGTTAAATTAACTAAGGGCGAGAAAACTACTATCTAGGTACTAGTAAAAAACGATGGAGGCAAAACCAAATAAAAACGGGCATAGCTCCTTTAAAAGAAATTATTAAGAAACGAGGATAAGATAGATCTATTAATCGGCGAACGAGCTTTTAGGTAAGTTAATTAAAAGCTAATGGGAGGGCGTAGGTTATTAATGGTCGCTATGGTTATCTGCCTTCCCTATTGATCTAGCTATCTGAAAATTTAGGCTATAGCCTGAAAGGGCTTAATCCGAAAGCCACGAAAACGGCTCTGGAGCTACGAAAATAGCTCCTAATTAAACGAAACTCTAGGGATCTCCTGATCGACGAATCCTGAACCTAATAACTATAAAAACGGTCGTAAAAGGTTACTCCTAAGATAAGGTAAGGTTCGAGCTACTAGGTAGTCGCTATTAAATAGGAGTAGCGTAGGTACGCTAACGGAGGTACGAAACAAGGACTGCCTAACTGCTAATAACTAGCCCAGTGCCGATTAACTAAGATCATAGCTATAAACAGCTATAATCGGTTAATCGGCCAGCTAAAAACGGTAGCTAGGAAAGGGAACTAAAAAGGGCAACGAGGAGGATAACTAGAAAGGTATGGCAGGAAACGAATAAATGGCTATAGGCTGTAATATCTATAGGTCTAAGTCTAGCTAATGAAAATATGAATGCGCGACTTATATAAATATATATCGAAAAGGCTACGTGGCCTAGATCCACCGCACCACTACAGTATCTACCGGGCTTCCCTTAACCCTCGATCCTTCCCCTATACGTAGTTCTAGGAGCTCTAGCTCTTCCTACTAACCATATATCGGTAAAAGCGATAAAAGGGATCTCCGGGCATTAACTTAATTATTCTATAACTATTTCTTAATCTCTTAGGCTATTTTATTTAATATCTTATTTATTTCGTATCGCGGTATCGTTTATAGGTCTTTGTATTAATCGGTAGGTTCCCCGATCAGGTTCGTAGGTATAAGGTCTATCGGTATCTTATTATAGTAATTAAAAGCATCGTAGTACCTATCAGTTAAAGAGAAACTTCCCTAGGTACCGTAACTAATTAGTAAGAATAAAACAAGGGCGATCGGAGCTATCGGTAAGCCTCTTATAATTAAAATAAACTAATCGGTAAAGAACGGATACCTTTAAACGCGTACAAGGTTATTATTATAAAAAAAGAGGGGGTAGCGGTAACTTAGTTAAATTAACTAAGGGAAAAACTACTATTTAGATACTATTAAAAACGAAGGCGAAACCAGGTAAAAACGGGCATAGCTCCTTTAAAAGAAACAATTAAGAAACGAGAATAAGATAGATCTATTAGTCGGCGAACGAGCTTTTAAGTAAACTAATTAAAAGCTAATAAGAGGGCGTGGTTATTAGTGGTCGCTATAGTTATTTACCCTCTCGTTAAGCCTAACCTGAAAAGGCTTAATTCGAAAGCTACGAAAACGGCTTTGGAGTTACGAAAATAGCTCCTAATTAATTAAAAATCAAGGAATCTTCTAATCGACGTATCCTAAACCTATTAATTATAAAAACGGTCGCAAAAGGTGGCTCCTAAAATAAGGTAAGGTTCGAGCTACTAGGTAGTCGCTATTAAATAGAAGTAGCATAAGTATGCTAACGGAGGCACGAAAACTACCCAACTACTAATAACTAGCCTAGTACCGATTAACTAAGATTACAGCTATAAATAGCTATAATTGATTAATCAGCTAGCTAAAAACGGTAGCTAGGAAAGAAGGAGACTAGAATGGCAAGGTAACGAGGATAGCTAGAAAAGGCATAGCAAGAAACGAATAAATAACTATAAGGTCGTAATGCCTATAGGTCTAAATCTAACTAATGAAAATATGAGTACGCAACCTATATAAATAGATATCGAAAAGGCTACGTAGCCTAGATCCACCGTACCACTACAATACGTCCTTCTATTTATTATTAAAAGGCTTAGGGGCTTTTTCTATCGTTTAAAGGCTAGAGGTTTATTCTTTCGTACGTTAACAGAATTCTTTAAGCTCCGCTTAAGGACGTATTAAGGCGCGCCTTCCTATTTATTACTAGCGCCTTTAGTGCCCTTATCGAAGTATTATTATCCTAATTAAATTTATTATTTCGTCGCTATTTTAATATCGTTTCTTTCTTATATTACGCCTCGAGCGCTCTTTCCTTACGCTTCGAGCATGATTTAACTTTATTAAGCGCTATACTTTAACGCTTTATGTCGATTTCGTCGTTTTTTATTTCGAAATTACTATTTAAACTACCTTTTCTCGGGTTATCGGTCGTTTCTTCGATTATCTTTTATCGATTCTCGTTCGTAATTATTAGCAGCGCGTATATCTAAAACCTAATACTGTCTTTTTAATTATTAACTTGACTAGTTATCTCTTAAGTATTAATATCGCCTTTCCTACTACTAATTCCGTTTATTAAGATATTAAACCGTTACCTCTTTTATCGGTTCTCTTTCGTAGGTATTACCGGCGCATATATTTAAAAGCTAATACTGCTTTTCTGATTATTAACTTAATACCGCTTCTCTAAAGGTTACTTCGCCGTTCTTACTACTAATTCTGCTCGCTTCGATACTAATTCTGTAAACCGATTTAAAAGAAGGTTAATTTAACTTTTTATTACGGTTTTACGAGTCATTTGCTAAGTAAAAGCCGTATATTAATAAATTAAAGCTAAACGAGGAGAAAAGGAGAGAAAGTATACTTTATAAGCCGTACTTATAATAACTAGCCTTATTCTTTATGGGTACTAAGGGGCTAATTACGTACTATGCCTCAGCACTAGCTAGGGCCCTATAATAGGCACAGCGTATTATGATTTATTTATATAATTTTAACTTATACTTATATAATAATTAAATTTAAGTAATATATATTTTTTAAATACAATTCTCTATATGTTTTTCTATTTAATGTATAGTTATTAATATATAGTAATTACTTGTAGTAGTTTAATACTTAATTTATAATTAATTGATATTAGCCCTTTCCTCGGCTTAGCGTTAAATCTCTACCTGTAAATTTATGGCGTGCTAGCAAATTTATTCTTCGTGGTTATTTTCTGTGCTCTATACTCGTGGCAACTTCATGTTCCTGGCTACCGTTTGAGTTGTTGCATGCCTCAAGTAATGGATTTCGAGCACCGGGCTGAAGCTGAAGACAATGTTCCTAGCGAGTTTCCCAGGAGCGTTCCTGAAAACTGCGCTGAATACTTATTATTCATCCTCGACAACACAGTTGGGTCTCATACTCTCCTCTCGGCCCTGGAAAATGTCCGTCACGCAGCTATGCAACTATCTCATAATATTGCTAAAGGGTATATATGGCAACGAGATTCCTTCCAATTGCACCTCGAGAGGGACCAGGGCCTAGTTTATCTACGTGGGATTACTGACTACGGCGACTCGGTTGAGGATGAGTGGCTTATCGTCTACCTACTTCGCGAGCTCACTAAGTCCTTTCCAACCCTCTGGGTAAGAGTATTTGATAGCGACGGGGAATTTTTACTCATTGAGGCAGCTAGAGTCTTGCCGAGTTGGCTGAGCCCAGAGATGGACGCTAATCGAGTATGGATACACGATGGGAGCCTCTACGTACACCCACTAGCTGCCAGTTCCGGAGTGAAGCGGCCGCTGTCGCTTCAAGAAGCTGTCGCCTACATTCAGTCCAATCCTCGCGGTCTCGTTCAACCAAGCCTCGTGGAGGCCGAGTCTTTCTACAGGCTAGAAAAATATCCTGGCCAAATCGCCTGGTCAGCACATCACTCGCAAGCGACACTACCTAGGAAATTGGCATACATTCTCCATGAAAAGCCGTCCACTATTGCTCCCGCTGTCGAGGCATTCTACCTGCGCGACCCTACTGGGATGAAGTCGCTCTCCATCTCATCTGGGAAGGCCCACTTCCCACCCAAGGATCTAGTGACAGTAGGAGTCAAGTTCACCAAAGTGCTCTTTGCGCAACTCAAATCGCAGCCTTTGCCCCAAGCTCCAGGGTGGAGAGCCTTTTTTGAGGCTGCCGAGAAGCATGCCTACGGTCCGGAAGACGACCACAGAAGACTAGCTCGTCTGGAACTAGGTATGAAGGTCACTAGTGGCTTCGAGTTGCTTGCAGCCAATGCCAGAAAGAGTGGGAATCGTCTCGCGCGCGAGTTCACTTTGCTCCTTGAGGACCTGGAAGAAGATGGTGTACAGGTACTCCCAACTAATGAGGAGTTAACGTTCTGGGAAGACGCCGATAGGGAGGACGACGAATCTTGGTTAGACATCGACTTCGAAGACTTCGGGAGCGAACTACGAGGAAGTCACAGTCCTCGGGGAGGATCAAAAAGTGGATTTGGCGACTCGTCGGCGCACGCCAATCTACGAAAGATTGTATCCCGTTTCGAAGCGTTTTTGGAAGATGAGAGGGCGGGTATTGGAGGCGCCGAGATGGAGAATACGGGCGAAGTTGACGATAAATCGAGCCGAGAGGATAGTGAGGGGGACGAGGAGGGGGACGACATTGACTTTGATGAAGATATGTTTTCGAGGATGATGAGGGAGACAATGGGTCTCCCAGATGACCAAGCCACGGGTGGTTGGCAGACAGCCGAGCCGCGAGAATGTACGACAAGCCCAGGTGCTGCGAAGACAAATGACGAGGATGAAGGTATCCGGCAGTTGACCGCCCAGATGGAAATAGAGTTGAAGAAATATGGCGCATTGAGACTCGACCAGACACCCGAGAGGATGGAAGCGACAAGAGCAACAGGTGAAGGTGATCTGAGGGGAAAAGAAAAGAGCATCCCAGAACACCGCGTTGGAGATGAGGATGATAGCGAGGAAGTCGATGTTGACTACAACCTCGCCAAGAACATCCTAGAAAGTTTCAGAAGCCAAGGTGGAATGGCAGGACCTACTAGTAACTTGCTAGGGATGATGGGTATACAGCTTCCTAGAGATGAAGCAGAAGATAGTTGACATAACGTGGGTAGCTACCAGCCAAGCGGTGCACTGACATTACGTAACTATCCTTACTAAGTTCATAGAAAGTTGATAAGCCTCGGTCTCTACTTAGCAAGTAAATGATTAATTCATGAATTAATATTAACATATTACATTTAATAACTTTATTTAAGTAAAGTAAAGTAACCATTAAGCTTTAATTAAAGAGTTATAATAAAAATTATATAATCAGTATAGTTTTATTTAAAAAAAAATTTTATATTTTTTAAATTATATAAAGAACAGCTTTATAATAATCGATTATTCTTTTACCTTTATATTACTACTTTATATATTATGTATATTTTATAAGAGAGTTAGTTATTGAATAGGAGTAGCGTAGGCACGCTGACGGAGGTACGAAATAAGGACTACTGAACAAGAGCAGCGTGGGCACGCTGACGGAGGCACGAAACAAGGACTGCCCAACTGCCAACAACTGGCCTAGTGCCGATCAACCAAGATCATAGCTATAAATAGCTATAATCGGTTGATTGGCCAGCTGAAAACGGCAGCTAGGAAAGGGAGAAGACTAGAAAAGGAGGAGGGCAACAAGGATAGCTAGAAAGGCATAGCAAGAAACGAGTGAATAGCTGTAACTAGTAATGGCTGTAATAGCTATAGTGATAGCTACAGGTCTAAGTCTAACTGATAAAAATATGAGTGCGCGACCCATATAAATAGACATCGAAAAGGCTACGTAGCCTAGATCCACCGCACTACTACACTACCTAACTACTAATAACTGGCCTAGTGCCGATTAGACTAGATTATAGCTATAAATAGCTGTAATCAGTTAATTAGCTAGCTGAAACGGCAGCTAGGAAAGGAGACTAGAAAAGAAAGGCAACGAGGATAGCTAAAAAGGCATAATAAGAAAGGAGTAAATAGCTATAACTAATAATAGCTATAGGTCTAAATCTAACTAATGAAAATATAAGTACGCAACCTATATAAATACGCATCCAAAAGGCTACGTAGCCTAGATCCACCGCACTACTACATTATAAGAATCATAATAGTTATTAAAGTTATTAAAAAAACTGTTTAATTTCTTTTTTATAAGTCTACTTTTTATATTCTTTAATAGACAAATACGTTTAAAATAAAAAAATTCTTACAAAAGATTCGTATTTGAGATACTTTAAATTAATACTACTTTAATACTACAACTTAAAATAGGTACTAGATTACTAGCTAACTATTACGATACTTATATAGGTACGTGCCTAGGAACACTAGCCTCGTAATGTCAGCTACTGTTGAGCTGAAACTCATGAAACGATGTAAATGCCTATTTTGTTTCTAGAGGGGCCGACAGTAACGTGCCGATTCCAGAGGTCTCCAGTTCATCTTAGGTACTTCGGGTAAACCATTGCTCCGTGTTACTCCTCGACAACTTCACTAGTTTTGCACGCCGCAGAAGCGGGAATGGAGAGCAACGTGGGGAAAGAACATACATCTAGCCATCTCGGGTTGTACTGAAAGGCTGCGAAATGCCTATACAACTTTTCCTACCCATCCCCCCGTCTTGCTAGATACGGTAGCACGTCCTCCTGGGGAACGCCGTTCCCCGAGACGTCCAGTCTCTCTCTGGTCGCACTAACGACTCATAGCGATAGAGTGAGTGGAAAATGGGCACGGTTTAGAGCCTCGGCCCTCGAAGCCCTTTTCACGAGAAGTCGTTTTCATCAACCTTCTCGTATCTCGAACACGCATATGCGGGAAGACTAGCAATGCCACCATGTTTACGAACACCTACCACGTTCAAACAGGATCGACAGTCCCTATTTCAGCCCTCGATGCGATCTCATACCACTAACCAATGGTTTCCCGCGTGGTCTTGTGGACTAGTACCACCTGCCTCATCTATTTGTCGTTGGGGTGTAAATATATGTTTCCAACGCGATCAGGCCATTAAGATTCCCTTGCGGGCGGAAACCTAGTGTTCTCACGGAGATTCTGGCGCGAAATAGATTTGCTCTACTAGTATTTAAAGCAGGCCCTGGCCAGGCCCTGGTGGAGAGAATGGGGGACGAGGCGGTATGAAACGACTCAACCCTGCGGAAAACCAGAGCGCCTTTTATTCCTCCCTTCTTTTGGAAACATGAAGTTCTGTCTCGCCTTTTGCCTGGGCCTGGCCACTACCGCCCTCGCGGCTGTGCCGGGATTTGACATTTCTCACTATCAGTCGAGTGTGGATTTCGCTGCGGCATACAACTCTGGGGCGCGCTTTGTCATCATCAAGGTGAGCCTCAAGGCATAGGTTCCGACCGCCCGACTAGAAAAGAACTGACCAATCTTGGACAGGCCACTGAGGGAACAAGCTATATAGACCCGATGTTTAGCAGCCACTACACCGGCGCCACCAGGGCTGGCCTCATCCGGGGCGGTTACCATTTTGCCCGTCCCGCCGCCTCCTCCGGGGCGGCCCAAGCTACCTTTTTCCTCGCTCACGGCGGCGGATGGTCGGGTGACGGAATCACTCTTCCGGGCATGCTGGATCTGGAGGGCGATTGCGCTGGACTTTCGAGGGCCGCAATGATTTCTTGGATAAAAGATTTCAGCGATACCTACCGCGGCAGGACTGGACGCTACCCGCTGTTGTACACAAACCCGTCCTGGTGGTCAAGTTGCACCGGCGGCTCCAGCGCCTTCGTTACTACCAACCCCCTCGTCCTAGCTCGTTACAGCACCAGTGCGGGAACGCCACCTGGAGGTTGGCCGTACTACACGATCTGGCAGTTCAATGATTCTTACAGGTACGGCGGCGACTCGGACACTTTCAACGGCGATCGTAAGTGCCATTTCGTTCATACCCCCCCCAGCTGTCCATCCTAACTAACTGCATCTCTATCCTGTAGTTGCTGGGTTGCGGAGACTGGCTTCCGGCTGATGGCCTGCCCCGGGGGGTGTAGGGGGGGTATATGTGGATCAGCCTTCGCGGTATATATATGTATGTATGTATGTATGTATGTGTGTATATGTATATTGCTATCGGGTATTCACCACCGTTGGAGGAAGCTGGACAATAGGGCTTTGTGTCTTCGAGACTGGGAAACCTTGCTTTCGTTACATTCATTAGTGTCTACTCCTTCACCATGCTCACTAAATCGCAAACGGATCATTCATGTTCACACGCGCAGGAGATATCGGACTACATACTAGATTCTGTTCCCACGTCTCACCTACCCTGCAGGTTAACTACTAGTTAGCTATCCTGAATCTACACTCGACCTGGCGTGACAGCCGGTGTTGTTTGGGTTACGACGGGACCAAGATATTCGTGAGATAAACTAGACGGTGTTTATACGAAGCAAGGACCTGACCTCCACCCGGCTGAGAGTATGGCTTCCTCTCGAAACACCTGGTAGCATGCCCGTCGAAAAGTCGGAAGCCAGAAATACATAATAGCGTCGAACAATTTACCAAGCTACCTTGATGAGGGCCATCTGTAAGGCGGCGCTAGGGATAGCCAGGCCAGTGGTCACGAAACAACCCGCGATAGGGAGTTGTAATGCCCCAACACACATGCCCATCACTTCCACCCGCATAATCTGCCGACAAAGCGAAGCCTCTTGCACATAGAGATTGATTCCCTATAGCGAGACGTCTAGTCGACGCCTGTCCTTATACCTACGGAAAAGAAAACGGGAACGACCGGTACAGATGGGATATCGACATGGCACGGATGTGGTGATGAATACTAGTGGTGGACCGGTACAAACAAGGGCACAATCCCGTCTGGGAGAAAAGACCTGTGGATCGATTGGTTGTGACGGCGCAGGACATGAATATTTTCAGTTACTCCGAACACCCCTGCTAGTATGACCCGAGCTGAGTAAGATGAGTAAGATTGGGTTGGGGATTTACTCCATCGGGTAATTCCCGACGACGGCGGAGATGGAGCTTACAGGCCCTACCTGAACACCTCTCCGAAAGCGCCATTCGGGTTCTGCGGCGGCGGGGAAATAGGAAGGACAAGGAGTTATTATTGCTAAGCAAGGTCTTGCACTCAGGCCATGGTCTCCTTACCCCTACCGTTATAAACAGTATACATTATTAATTTCTAGTATGTATAAAATACGTCGAAGCACGGAGTGCTTCTCTAGGTTTTCGTGCCGAAAACCTAGAACCTCTCTGAAGGCTAGGGAAAAAGGGGTAAGTAGGAATCGACATTTGAATTGCGAAAAGGGATTGATTAGTAATCGATTCTTGATTGAATACGGAAAAACTAACCTGGATTGAATGAGAAACTGACCTAGATTAAACAGGGAGAAACTAACCTATATAGATTAATTCATATACGAATAGGATTAAACTACGAAAAGGTATTAACAATCGACTTTTAAACAAGGAGAAACTAACCTCGATTGATCTATATATAAATAGGATTAAAATAGGTAGGAAATAGGATTAGGTAGAAAAGAGAATTAAATAGAAAATAGGATTAAACGCGTTAGTAGGTAAATAAATAGATATATATATTGCAGTGTTATTATATGTATCTCTTTTAAATAAGCTATACGAACTTTTAATTAATTAAAACGGCATTTACAATGGTATTTATAGGTGTATTTATAAGAGTATTTAATCTCGTAATTAATTAGCATGATAAGGAGTTTAACGTATTATAACTATCCTCTAGATAAAATTATTTTTTAATTATTAAGATATATATACTTTTACTAACATTTTAAAATATATTATATATAAAAAAGTACAGATTATAGCAAAGTACCTCAATGTATAATAAGTAGTGATTACTTTATAGATAGGATACTTTATAAGAAAGACGTAATTATCCTTCTAGTGAGATTAGAGATTGATTGTAAGATTATACACGTACAGAATCGGAATTCACGTGCGCGCGGTGCTGAAAGGTACCCAGCTCCGGGTACCTCGAGAGGTGGCCCTCCGAAGCCTCAGGTTGAGCAAATCGGAGGCGGATCTGTCGGTCTTGGCGGGACTGCCCCAACATCTGAATACATATGGGTGGGGAGACCGCCCATCAGGTCGACCCTTTTTCATAGATAGCAACCAGCGATCAACCACGAGATACGCAAATAAAAAACTTTTCTTCACCGACACTTGGACAGTCGCCTCTGACGGCCTCCTGGTCTGACCCCATACCGGTTTCTCGCCGCTCCAAGACCCTCTTCTCTCCACGCGAGAACGCGGACACACACACACACACACACACACGAATACACAAAACGCATCTACAGGCAACCTGACACCTGACATTTGCTGACGGGGCTGGTTAGACGACGTGTGGCGTTTTCAGAAGCAAAAAAGCGCGCATAGCTCTATTTACCCGTTCCTTAGCTTCTCGCCCGTTCGGAATTCTCGCTTTCAACCCCCCTTCTTGCTTTGAAGATCCGATATGCCTTCAGTAACACCGTACCGCACTACCGGGAAACGGCCTCGTAAGTTGGACGATTACTTCTCTGCTATTTGGTACCTACAAGAAGCGCGGCGGACGGGGAGGGGACGGAGATGGACATGGCCGGGTCCCTTTATTTATTTATTCTGTCTTTACCTTCAAGAGAACGGCGAGGAGGCGAGAGGGAGGGAGCAGAGCAGAAATCCGACGGGCGAGACCTCGTTTTCGGCCGTTCCCTCCCCCCTCCTCACTGCTGTCCTCGCCTAGGGCCGGGCCGCCATCCCCCATCGCATCCACGCGCGTCGCTAGAGAGCGGAGCCGCTGTCTGTCCTCTTCTCCTCCTCTCCACAATACCGGTAGCCGGCAACATCTGACATGCGATGGCTCCTCCCACAGGTACCCAGTCTCTCCCCCCTCCCGCTCTCCCCCAGCTCGTCGCCGAACAACACGTACCCGTGGCTCCCAGTGACAAGGATAGCCAGCGGTTAATCGTCGTCCTGTCCAATGCCAGCCTAGAAACCTACAAAGCCTCTCACGGAGGTGGTGTCGGCCGCATGGGTATGCAGCGCGAGGACAAGTACTCGCTCCTCAATAGCGACGAGCACATTGGAGTCATGCGCAAGATGAACCGCGACATTAGCGATGCTCGGCCCGACATTACGCATCAGGTAGGCTGGGACTTGCGGTTAATTACTTGTTCAACACCTCTACACTTGTCTTGAGAGTTGGCATTCAACATGCTAACGGTCGGCGGTATCGATGCAGTGCCTGCTCACCCTCCTAGATTCGCCCATAAATAAGGCTGGGAAGCTGCAGATATATATCCAAACTGCCAAGGGCGTTCTCATCGAGGTGTCGCCGACCGTGCGCATTCCTCGGACCTTCAAACGGTTTGCGGGCCTCATGGTTCAGCTGCTCCACCGCCTGTCCATCCGCTCGACGAACTCGCAGGAGAAACTTCTTCGGGTCATACAAAATCCCATTACGGATCACCTCCCGCCAAACTGCCGCAAGATAACGCTGAGCTTCGACGCAAGCACGGTGCGCGTGCGAGATTACATCCAAGGTCTCGGGCCCAAGGAGAGCATTTGCGTCTTCGTTGGCGCCATGGCCAAGGGCCCTGACAATTTCGCCGACGAATACGTGGACGAGAAGATCTCCATCAGTCAGTATAGCCTCTCGGCTAGTGTCGCCTGCAGCAAATTCTGCCATGCCGCCGAAGACGTGTGGGACATCCTGTAAGAAGGGCCCCCGATGGGTTGGCCAGCTTCCAAGAAGGAAGCAAGGGACCGAGGAGGCGGCCACCTTGTAGGAACGTGTAGGTGATATAGCGCCGTTGTCGACCTGGGCTTCCTGTCCCGCAACATGGCGGCCGGTGCAACTAACCCCTTCCCAGGCTTGGGTCCAGAGATTTTGTTCTGTCTCTGTTTTCCCAACCAAAACGTTTGGCGTTCAACATAAGATCCGAGACGTTTTTACCAACTTTGCGGGCCACTTCAACTTGGCCCCTCCTCCGTTTTTGTTCTCCCCCCCTCCCTCCCTCTTCTCAGCCTTGTCGCGTTTCCGCGCGAGCACAGAGTCTCGTGCATCGCGCGAATCAATTCTACTACATGCACCAACCATAGGATGGCCCCCCAAAACGTGTCGGGAATGTCGACATACCACCCTCCTGATCGCGGGGTAGTAGGAATTGGTTGGGAAATAGGACAACGGAGCTACGAAAAGGCGATGCATTATCAATAGCTATCGGCGCTGCTTCGGCATGCGATGTGCTTGGTGGGCGTGTTCAGACAGGTTCGAGTGTGGAGTAGGGACCGGGCATAGAGGCCTCTGATGTCAAACCAAGTCTCCTCTCGTAACAGTAAGGACAGAGCTGGTACCTGGCTCTGGACTGAGAGTCTCTTGCCGCAGCTCTCGTTGCCGACCTTATTGCCAGACATCGTATCGCATCGCCCAGCCCTACAGAGCCGGGCACATACACACAATACGTATACATATTATGCAGTACATACAGAAGTCGCAACATCTTGACTTAGATTTGCTTAAGTGAAGGTCCAGTAGAGGTTGATTTAGGCGCATGCTTGCGCGGAGGCATGGTGACTAGATGCTGTTGCTGCTACTACGGTAAATGAGTTTTTCCGCCGGTTTGTCTCGTACCAATGCTTACCAACAGGCTCCACCTAGGGATAAAAAGGAGGAGAGGAGAGACACAAGTGGGCGGATGCGATCAGTCTTCTAGTACCTGACAGCTGGATAGGCCGGGGGGAGGCGAGGGCGGCGGGTGAAGAGAGGGGCTTGGCCTGTTGGCATGATGCATACAGTTGCACTACCTACGTGTAGACATGATTGTCCATTAGAAAAAGTGGACAGTGGGGAAGTGTCGATAAGACTGCCAGTGAGGAGAGAGAGAAAGCGAGACAGAGAGAGGGAGAGAAACGCGAGAGAGGGAGAGAAACGAGAGAGAGAGAGAGAGAGAGAGAGAGAGAGTGTGTGTGTGTGTGTGTGTGTGTCTGTGACGGACGAGACGGAGAAAAGGCCAGCAAGCTTTTCACCGGTGGTCGCTTTCCCCCGCCCTTCGCGGGCCTGCAAACTCGGCTCAAACATGGATCTGCCGTAGGTCTCTCCAACCAACTAGCTGGCCACGCTGCTCTGCTGTCGGGACACCACCGAGACGCTGTCGACGTGCAGAAGCTCCGGTCCGCCGGTCGAGCGCTATCCCCTTCGAATACAAGCTCGTCTGGGAGAAGGGCGAGGTGCCTCGGACCCCGTCCGACGTGGCGGCGCGCCCAACCAGAGTGGCAGGCGTCGGCGTGTTCGCGCCATCGCGCTGTTGTGAGTCGACCATGCTGCAGATTGACGGACTGCAGAGGGGGACGAGTCCCATCTTCCTGCTGCCATCAAGCAATGCTAGGCCAACGAGAGCCTCCGCGCGCGCGCAAGCCCGGTTTGGGCTCGAACTGTCTCGTGCCCTACCGTCGCTCACCTCTTCCCGCACTTCTTGGTACCTGCCAATCCGGCCTAGCTTGCTGGGGGGCGAGCCACCGTTCGACATCCTTGGACCTACCAACTCACTTACTGGCTTCTTATTGGGCTGCCGTGTGGTGGACCGTACGGCGTCGTAGGTACGCCAGCGCCGTGCCTTAGGCGAGCGGCAGGGTCATCCATCCGGCCCTCCTCAAGAAACCTCCCCCCCCGCCACGTTCCCTGTTGGTCAATCTATTGCGCTACTACACGTGTATACGCATGGGTGAACCAGACGGCCGCAGCTAGGACAGGTCGGGTACCCAGCTACGGTCGCCCGCGAATTTGACCATACACGTCGAGACTTGTCCTCCTGCATTAGTACCTAAACAAGGGGGAGGGGAGCGGACAGGCTACCGGGATGGCTCCCTCTACACTTGCCATTGGCGGTCAGCTCGTGTCTACGGCGTTCTGCCCTCCTTTAAGAGCCTCGACCGACGCCGGTGTCTCGACCGATCTGGCTTTTGAAAAGCTGCCTCCGCTTTGGAATCGGTTCTCGCTGTTCTCGAAGGCCTCTATTTACTAGTTCAAGTCGCACATTGTGAGGTCCTCGAGTACTCTCGTGAGGCTATCGGTGGGAAGAAGAACGCCAAAGGTCTTTTCTTGGTCTCGTACGTGAGACTTCCAAATACGCCTTTCGATATTTGTCTGGGCCTCGACCTCGACGACAGGACAGTTTCCGCCATACCGTCATCTTGACCTACATATCATACCACCATCTCCTCAGGGCTTGAGGATTTCAGCCTCCCATTCATATTTCCCTTACTCGCCCTCTGAGCGACATTCACGCACGCACACGCTCTCTCGCTTGTCCTTGGGCTGGTTGTGTTCTACTGGGGCACGGCACGTCTATTTTGCTGTATTGATATCGACACCAATCTCCACGTAGACGGGTCATCATATACCAGTAGCACCCGATGCAGGTTCCATTTGTCCAGGTAACCGACCTTCCCACGGCGGCCTCGTTCTACGCCGCGGTGACTCAACCACTCGGCTTGCGATATTTATCTGCCGCCGGGTCGTCGATTGTCTTTGGCGACATAGATTCATCCAATCCAGTTTTCGAGGTGAAGAAGAGCAGCGGCCTCGACCTTCAAGCACCGCAGCCTTGTCGCCTAGTTCTCAAGGCAAAATCATCTTCGGCCGTGTCATCTTTCCACGCTGCTGCTGTGAGAGCAAACCCCGACGCAACCACCAATTATCTCCACGTACACGACAAGCCGGGTACGAGCGGCGAGAGTCTCGCCAGGATTGAAGATTGCGACGGGAACGTGATGGAGGTTGTTCATCACGGGTATCCCGATGCCAATGGCTCCGCGCTGCGCCGTAATCTACCCACTGGCCAAGAACTTAGCCGCGCTGTCGACTGGGATGTGGAATCGGCTTCTTCGGCCCCTTCGCGAACCGTCGCAGGATCCACCGCGAGTAGCCGCGTCGTGGACAGTGACCCATTCAGCTTTCTGAGGGGGAGTGCGGCCACACCTTCAAGCACCGAGTCGTCACGTGGCGACGAGTCGAAGGGATTCAGCGCCAGTGCCGTCGTTGGAACCGTCCTGGGCGTAGCGGTCGGCGCTGCCGTCGGCGGTGCGCTAACTTACACTATGATGAAGGGCGACCGCGAGCGCGTCGCTTACCAAGAATATGAGACGCCGCCCGCATTCTCGCGGCGGGCGACATTTCCGGACCCGCAGCCGGATAGCCGACCGAGGTATGTAGACGAGAGGGCGTCCGGAAGGCCTCCGCCGTACCCGCCGTCGAGTTCCGGTTATTCTCAGGCCAGTGGTAGGCACAGGACGGTTGAGGAGTTGGACGATCGGTCCAGTCGCTATTCCAGCCATTACACTACTGGCAGCAGGTCACGAGGCCACAGTGAAGCATCTTCGACGAGGCGACCTCTCATGATTGCAAATGCGGAACGTGGAAGCGTCGCCAGCTCCAAGTATAGCGAGGCACCCAGGTCACTGGCGGACTCGGAGCAGCGCAGCCACGCCGGGTCCAGGCACTCGTCGAGGCGATCGCCCGATTCCGAGTACCGCAGCTACAGCAGTTCGAAAAAGGCACCATCGCGGCCTCGCGAGGCCGATGCGGAGACATACGTCTCAGCTCGGAGCGAGAAGTCCACTAGCACGATCAGGCCTGGCAAGGCCGACGCAATCCCTCGCTCGCGGGCACCCTCCAAAGCGAGTAGCCAATACTCGTCCGCTACTATCAAGGCGCCGACGGTCCATCGGACGCAGAGCCATGTTTCCGCCAAGAATGTTCCGCAGCCGGAAAGCACCGTGGGAAGCGAGTCGGTCTGGGACGACGACGACGGCAGCGTCGCGCCGAGCGACAGTATTAGCAACGTCGGGGTGCGCCCGAGCAAACGGACGAATCGTGTATGAATAGCTTGTATTCCAGATAGACTACGGGTCTTGGATCCTTGATAGGTTAGGTAGGGGCTAGCTGATTCCCCTCCGCCTTTCTTCGTGCCGTACGGTTTCTAGAACCGTGGCCGCCTCCTTATACGGGAAAGAAAAGAGGGAGGGGGCGTATACCGACGACGACAACATCGTTGCCGCCCAGAAAGCGAAGCATAGACACGGCCGATCTTCTCAGGGGTTCGTGGTCGAGACGACTTGTCTAGAGAGAACAGACTGAAAGAGTTAGTCGGCGAGGGGACGCATTAAGGGAAATAAATATCCGGGATCAGGCTTTTGTTTGGCTGAATGGCGACGACAGACATGCGCGAAGTGAGGCAACCTCCAATAATGAATTGAGAAACACCAGTCTCACCGAAGCATGGGCCTGGTCAAGAACGTGCTAAGAACCAGATGGCGTTACCTGGTTAAAACCAGAAGCCAACGATTCCGCGATTAGCTAAGGCGGGTGACTAGGGCACCTAAGAGGCTACCTAGACAAAAGGGAGAACCTCTCAGGTACCAATAGGTACCAATAGATACGGAAAGAGGTACACGTGGGCTTGATGACCCGATCCGACGCCGCACCATTGCCCGTGGAGGGAGAGTCGTCGCAAAGCATGAGGTGCCCTGTATGTAGGTAACCCCCCCCCACCCGCCGTTAGGTATGTTAGGTACCACCTTAGGGGTGGGCACTACCAGTAAGAGGTACCGCCTTAAGGTCTAGGTACCTAACTCATAAGGTGGGTTAGGTACCTACCTGGTAGGTACCCAGAGAACCCGGCTATCTCAGGCACCATGCTGCCATCCCATCCCATCCCATCCCTGCCTACACCTGCGGCGGAACCCGCTGAGGCCCAGGTACCTCTCCTATTCCCACCGCTCTTTTCCGCTCTTCTTTTCACCGAACCTCCCGTAGCCCTTAGACGACGCCAACCTCTCTGCCCTCGCTCAGGTCCGCCTCCCCCGATCACCTCCCCGCGCTGAAGCATCCCGGCGGGAACGAGAACGGGCTCCCCCTACCAAGCTGCACACGCCTCCCGACATACCTACGTGCGAGCAACTATTCATCCGCATATTTACCACTGCCGCCTCCCCCGCCCCCCTCAATATCCAGGGTCCCTCCGTATACTCGCGGTTCCTGCACGCCGTACTGAAGACCACCGCTGCTGCTTCGGCCTACCGACCTGTGCCCCCCCCCCTCTCTCGCGACGGTCTCGGGGAAGAGTCCTGGGTGTTTTCTCTTCATAAGGGGTGACGATGGCCGAACGGGAATATCCGGTGCTGTCCCGGAGAGCCATAGAGGGCTTGATCGCCGATGGGCGGAATATCTTTATCGTTGACCAATACGTCTTCAAGGCGGACCCTTGGCTTCAGTACCATCCCGGGGGCGACAAGGCTATCCTGCACATGGTTGGTCGCGATGCCACCTCCGAAGTCACCGCGTTCGTGTTACCTCTACACACATACCACTCACCCCATCCCCTACCGGAACCACACCTTTCTGACGTAGCTCTCCCACCAGTCTTCATTCCCGCGAGGCGAGGGAGCAGATGAACCGTTACCGCATCGGGAGAATCGAGGGGAGGTGGACTAACTTCGTGCCTCCCATCCAAGGCGGGAAGTTCAGACCCTCGTCCCCTTGTGATAACCACGATCGCCTCTCTGGCGGCGACGGCATCGAGAAGGAGGCTTCGGAGGACAACCTAACTCCGACAGAGAGCTCGAGCAGTGCCAGTTCCCGCGAGCCTTCTCCCATCTTTGATAGCTCCGGCACCCATCTGCGACAACGACGTCTCGCCGACGATGTTGCCCTGCGCGGCTCGCCCTCTGCGCCATCCGTATCTTCTGTCGGCCCTGACGAGGACGGCATGTCCTACCTGGACACCATCACTAAGGAGAAGACTACTCTAGATTTAGAGAAGTACCCTCCCCTCGATTTCGCGACCCAGGACTCCATCGTGGCCAAATACCGGGATCTAGACAAGCGTATTAGGGCCGAAGGTCTCTACGAATGCAACTATGGCGCATATGCGGTCGAGGTGACGCGATACTCTATCCTCTTTGCTCTTTTCGCCGTCTTTCTCCACTGGGGTTGGTATGTTCTGAGCGCGGTATGCCTGGGCGCCTTCTGGCACCAGCTTGTGTTCACTGCCCACGATGCTGGTCACATGGGTATCACTCACGACTTCCACACGGACACGGTCATCGGAATCATCATTGCCGACTTTTTGGGCGGGCTATCTCTCGGCTGGTGGAAGCGGAACCATAACGTGCACCACATCGTCACCAATGCCCCCGAACACGATCCCGACATAGAGCACATGCCCTTCATGGCTGTGTCCCATCGCTTTTTCCAATCCATCCGGTCTACTTACTACGACCACGTGATGGAATACGACGCCGTGGCAAAGGTCATGTTAAGGATCCAGCCGTACACGTACTATTTATTACTGATGTTCGGGCGGCTGAATCTCTACCGCCTGTCGTGGGATTTTCTAGTCATGGGAAGAGGTCCTCGGAAGGGCCCAGCTTGGTGGCACAGATGGCTCGAGGTGGCCGGCCAGACGTTCTTCTGGACGTGGTACTTTTACGGGGTCGTGTACTGCTCAATCCCTAACAACTGGGACCGCTTCATTTTCTTCTTGATTAGCCACGTCGTCCCTATGCCTGTACATGCGCAGATTTGCCTTTCCCATTTCGCCATGAGCACGTCCGATCTGGGGCCTCACGAGTCGTTCCCTCAGAAGATGCTTCGCACGACTATGGATATCGACTGCCCCCAGTGGTTGGATTTCTTCCACGGCGGTTTACAGTTTCAGGTCATACACCATCTATACCCCCGGATCCCACGCCACAACCTGCGCCGGACGCAAAAGCTAGTGCAGGAGTTCTGTGCCGAGGTCGGCATTCCCTACGCGTTATACGGCTTCGTGGACGGTAACAGGCAGGTCGTCGGGACGCTGGCCGAGGTATCGAGGCAAGCAGCTATGCTCGCCAAGTGCCAGAAAGTCATCTCCGAAGGCGACAATCCCCTCCACGGGCATCGTCATCATTGATCTTATCTAGCTGTGATGTTTTTTTGTACCCGCCTTGGCGGACCCTGTAGTTAGACAAGCGATTTCTTGCTCCACTTGGCAATGAACGCTGACCGAAGCAAAGACGGCTTGATCGTCGAATAGAGGCGAATGCATCCCTCAAACATCATGAGTTTAAGACCCTTTCCTCCCCGTCTCCGTGCTTTTCTTCTCCCATGTTTTGCTTCTTTTTGTTTCTTTTTCCCCCTTTACAACGTTTCTATGGGAAATGTCGTGGTCCTCCCGTATCCGTTGGGCCAGTCGAGCATCCGCGCCCGAGGCTCTCCGGTCGAGTAATTTCGTCAGAGTCGGGTTCCCATGACCACGATGAATGCAGTTGGCCACATTGCTACCCTACCGGGCGAGAGGATACCCTCCCCAACCCATCTATTCGTCTCGTCGCGGGGATGATTTGACAACTTCCGCAGGCATTAAAACTAATTATATTGTGCAACGGCGAGTTATCCGTTGCCCTGACCTAGGAGACCTGCCCCCCCCCTCCCTCTCGTCGGTTTAGGTCGAAAGGTGACTCTGAGAGCTTCGTTTTCGCCACCTCCTCTTGCCACACCCTAGTTGGGCACGTTCTAGGTTTTGTATCCCGTCTCCTGTATGGTGTATCCCCTAGCCGACGAGAAGATTTAAATCGGTAGCCGCGCAAAGACGGTGAGGTCGGCATGGCTTATACCGGTTCTACGGCTGTTCCTGCATGGGACGCCAGGACGTAATAGATGACGGATTGGTAGGCATATGAGGCGGACGTTTCAAGCTTGCTTGCAACGGATGCAGCTTTGGGTCAGCATGGCGGATGGGCATCGATCCACGGCTCTTACCTAGGTCATGTGCCTCTGCCCTTCACCTATCCCCGGAAGTCCTGGTCCACCCCGAGTTTCTAGTTAGCTGGTGACTGAAAAACAAGGTTGGCAGGGCCACTTGCAGCTTTCCCTGGCCAATGTCAACAGTGCGGTATTTGCTATGAGCATACGTATCCCGGCTGGTCTCCTTCAGCTTCTCTTATTCAACATCTCCCCAAGGGAGGGAGAAAGGGAGGGGAGGGGGGAGACTCCCCTGCCGATAACATGTCGGAAGCGGAGATGAGATGTGTTCATGTGAACAGTCTCGGTATCTTCGACGAGGAAGGAAAAGCAGAATGATAACAGCCCAACCCCCAATGGGATGGTAGGGACTCGGGTATATCGCAAAGCCAACCTCGGATACGGAAAGTGGCTTTTATCTATAAATGACACCCGTCGTCCTTGATGCTGAGCTTCATGTCCCCGTGCTTCACCACAGTCCTTCGGATCCCCACCTACGATCACATTTCCTTCTTGGTCATCCTTGACAGGCCAGTAGCCAACGTTAGCACCGAGCCTTCCACCTACATTGCCTTGGGGTTAAGAAAGATGGGCCCGACCAAAATGGACGAGAAATCGGCCGCGCGGATCGCCAAGTCCCGCGGAAAGAATGTGAGTCTTCCCCATGATCTTGAGTCGGCCGGAAGGGTTGGACCTAGTTCTTACTTCCGCTTTTGGAGCAGGACTCTTTCGCGAAGCGTGCCGACATGGCAGCACGAAACAATAAAGACCAGAGTGTAGGCAGCACGGAGGAGCCCTGCCAGAGGGGCGAATCGAGTCAGAAGAAGGACGGTGGCGAGCAGGCGAAGTGAGAAAGGGATTGTTTGGAGAGAGCCCCCAGCTGACTACCACTATCGGCCGGCCGGAAAACTTTCCCCACGGGACCGACGCGGTGGTGAAAGGGGCACAGACGGTCTCACCCTCCAGGATGAGGTCGAGTAGCTGGGATATTTAGGACCGAGATGGGGGAGATGATTCGCGATGCATCACAATAGAAATCGTCGATACGGAATAATGGCGACCGAAATGTATTATGGCGTGATATTTGGTCGTACGTGTGACCGAGTCGATGAGAAAGTAGTAGACAGCTAGGCTACCCGGAGATCTCGACACCATCTGGAGTGCACATGTGCGTATGTGAATGCGTGTGTATGTGCATGTATGAGTGCTCAGGCGCATGCAGGATACGGATACTCCTGTCCATGGAGAAAGGGGCGCCTATGAGGTTAGGGGACCAGGTCGGCATTCTCATGATGGGGTATCACCCTAGAGGAGTTTAAACCCCTCTTCCTCCGGCCCCCTGCCTAACATACTTGTCTGTCTGTATTTGCACCCTTCAGCCTGCCCCTCCCTCGCATCTATGTCGACGTCTGTATGTGTCCCTCGCCCACGGCGAATCGCGTGGCCACATATTTGTCGGGTGGTATCCGTAATAAGATCAGCATCGCCACACGAAGTCGCTAAGCCAGATGCTCCCCAAGCAGGGGTCTGCTACGTAGCACACCCACGTACCTGGGGTTGGATACGGCAAATCTATACCAGGCGACTGGTACGCGGAGATAACCGACCGGTGTGGCTGCAGCGGGGAAGACCCCTCCCCTGCCCTCCCATGATGGCAAGCTGCGGGAGAGATGTGGGAGCACGCATCCAACGGGAAAAAAGGGTCGAAAGTAGCGTAGCAACGGCCCTCGATAGGTGGACGGCATTTGGACCACACATGGGAGATTGCGGTGGTCAGACCGGCTGCCACGTCGTTTTGCGGTGTGGTAGACATCGCATTTTACTTCCCTCTCCTTTTCCCCTTCGCCCATTTTCCATCCCCCCGGTTGACAACGAGTCGACGTTTACAGAAGCCATGGACCCCGGAATGACATCACAGCCTACATCTTATCTTGGCTGAGAGAAGTGGGAGAGCTCGCCGATAGGATATGAGGAAGTCTGACTGTCTGCCAGTTGGGGTTTTGTATAACCGATCTAGGTGTGGTGGAACTCGCGATTGGCGGTCGTCCTGCTACTTAGATAGAGAGACAGCAGAACCGAGGGGCGAGGGAGGGTAGGGAGACCCACGGTATGGTAAGCTGACGCACAGACAGGCGCTGGAAAGCTGGTGGCGGGATGGCGCAAAGCGGCCTGACCTGCACCGCGTGCGCTGAGCCAAAGACAAGGTAGGCAATGTCTTGGCTGGAAATTTCGACCGGGGAAGGGCGACGAGGAGGTCGAGGAGCAGGAGGAGGGGGAGGGCCCTAGCCAGGGTCTCGGCACGGACGAGACGAGACAGGATGACGTAGGGAGAAACCGGCGAACCAGAGGGGTTGGAGGCGACGTGGGTGGGCAGCCGGTAAGACATAGGTAGGTTGATAACACTGCCTCCCTCGGGAGGAGAAGAGGGCGGGAGGAGGATGTGTCTCTCCCACGATGTGTCTCCCACCCCGCTTCGAGCAGGCCGAGCAGGGGCTGGTGGAGATGAGGAGGACGAGGAGGCTGACGTAGGTAGAGGGGACGGTTTATCGATCCCCCGGTTCGGGAGGTGGGTTTTGGCTTTGCCGCGCTAGGCGCCCCGCTTATGCATTTAAAGGTGTTGGAGGCAGAGAGTGTGGCTAGTACCTAGTGGGTCGTCCATCAGGCTTCCCAACATCCCAACTGTGTAGGTACATCTAACGACCTCTTCCTATTCATCTGTAAATTGCCCAGCCACCTGGAGGCAAGGAGCGGTAGTTAGGTTGTGACTTAGAGCCCCCCGAGTAATGGCACATGTAGCCTCAAACCGCCAGCAGGCCGCCATTTTCTCTCCCTCGGTCGCCCGGGCCGCCGCCTCTACTGCCAAGGACTGGACTTACGTCAACAACTGGCTGGTGAGCAAGTACTACAGCATCGGCGGTAACGACAACACCGAGAGCGAGGGCGACAAGGACGGCTCCGACCCCTCGTCCTTGCCATCCTCTTCGGCCCCTGCGAATTTCAGCTCGGCCAGAACCGGCAGGAAGCTCCCCCCCTTCGAGCGGAACCCCGACACTCTCAAAGTTCTGCTCGCCCTCGCTGCCGTCAACGAGGCCGCCGACGAGGACTGCGATCGGCTTGCCCACCTTGAGGAGGCCGCCCTCGACGCGATCCGCCGCCGCCAGAGCACCCAACCCCCCCTGCAATCCGAGGTTGAGGTAGCAAAGGGTGCGGTGACGCAGCCGGACGGCGCCGCCTTCGCCGAGGACCTCCTCGCCGCTATCCAGGAGAACCTCAGCAGGGAAGGTTGCGCTGCCCTCGACGCCATGGCCGGTGTCGCCGTCGAGCTCGACGTCGCTTACCCGGAATCGACCACCCTCGGTGTCGCCCTCGCGTCGCTCCGCGGCCGTGCCCTCGAGCTCGAGGATGCCACCGCACGTCTCGACCTGTTGTTGCGGCCACACCTCGACCGCGAGACCGCAGCGACGGTCGCCTTTCTCGCTGACCTCGAACGCGGCGACACCTACCAGCCGGCCCCCGACCTCGCCAAACAGAACCTCGAGCTCCAGCGTCGCGTCCGCGCCGGCACCGGCGATCTCTCCGAATTGCAAAAGCGCGTCCTCACCCTTGAGCGGACCGTTGGGATCCCCCCCGTCACTGTTGGTGACGTCAGGGCCGACGAGGACGCCTACCTTGCCTTGCTCGCTCGGAAGAAGGACCTCGATGCTCAGGTCAAGGCCTTTGCTGGCCTACCCCCGGATATTGAGACAGCACGCGCCGAGCTGGAGGCCCTCCGCGCCGAACTGAGGAACGCGACCAAGCAGAGAGACGCAGATTTCGAGAAGCTAGTAGAACGAGAGAGTCCGGTCAAGATTAGGAGAAGGCCGTAAAAGGCCCGTGCATAAGGCATCCTCGATTCTATTAGTGTTATAACTCCACAAGATTCGGAGACTCTCTCTCTCGCCATGCCGTCGGCAATACTCTACAAACCAGCTCCCGTCTCAGTCACTCATACGGCTTTCGTATAGACCCCGCCTGTCGCAATGCCACTCTTACCCTCCTAGGTCTGTGCGGAAATCTCTAACCTCCTCACCCAGCCCTCTCGATTTTATTACTGTGACCGTTTCCCCCTTCCCGAGACGGTCGCGCCCAACCGGCCAAACTGCCTTCCCAACCCCGAACGTTTTGGTGCCGGCGCGGCAATTGTAGAGTCTTTCGGCGGTACGGCTGGGCCACTTCCCGGTCGTGACGTCTCCTTCTCCGCGACGCGAAGTTCCCCAAAGTCTGAGCCATCTTCGAGTGATCCATCCACTAGCCTCTGTACACGTCTTGCTTTGTCCTGCACGCTTCTAAACTTTTCTAGAAGCTGATCCCACCGAATGTTGTTCTCCTCGCGGCCCTTGCCTAATCTGCTAGGCCGATCATAATTTGACGCGCTAGGCGTGACGACAGTGCTGATGAGCGACGAATAAGTGTCCTGAGCATTTCTTGGACGAGAGACTGGACTTTGGACAGAGGAAATGGCCTCGGCAGTAGAGCTCTGCCAGGAGTGTGTGGGGGTGGCGGTAGTAGATGATACGTACGGTCGAGGCCCAAATTGCAGGTAGCCTATCGAGCTCACACTATTCAATCTATTCTTGAGGGCGGCAAAGGCAGAGGATTGTGGCAGGAGCATCAGCAACCCGTAAAGACACTTGTAAAGATAGGGGTACTTCTCGGGCTCGAGGAGCTGAAGTCGGAGGTCTACCATTACAGTTAAGATTTTATGGTAAGCTGAGCACCGTAGCCAGGGCCACTCACATGTGAATACAGGGGATTCGATGAGCTGGACGAGTTTGTCGATCTGGATGAGTATGTTGACCGTCATCTCTAGCTCCGCGCTTCCGTTTGTCAGTACCATAGTGTCGTAGCGTTGCGGGAGATATATCCCGCGCTTACAAGATCTGTAGGAGATTGTATGCCGCTTCATATGCTTGGGCTAGGAGGCACAACGAGAACGTGGCAACCGCATTGTAGCACCACGATCGGAACAGGGCGACGAAGAAGAGCTGGCCATCCTAGTATAATGGTGAGCAGCGTACGAATCGGGGGTGACCACAACACATTACTTTGGTCTCAAGGTTCCGTAGTCTTTTTCTCAAGTCGGCCAACTCTGGCGCTGTGATCAGGTTATTGTTGAGATTCTGTACCATAATGCTAGCGAACTCGAGGTCCTCCTCTTTCTCGATAGTTTCGGCTAGTGTGCGATATATCCTCTCGGGACTTAGGGTCATGCAGAGTTGTCGAATAATTAGATTCCCTCGCGTCTCCAATAGCTTCCTGTCGGTAGAAAACAGCTGGAGCAGACTGACCATGAAGTTGGAAAAGTAGTCGTCTTCACTGTTCCTCGAGATCTGGGACAGGAGCTGCAGATCCTTAGTCACGACAGCTTCTGCTGGATCTGAGAGCGTCTTAAGGAGGGCCGGAAACGTCCCGTCGTTGAATGCGACGATTTTCCGCGGCGCTTTCCGGTGCAACATGATGAGCCAAGTTAGTGCCGCAACACGGGTGGCCTCGTGGTCATTCAAGAATAACAAGGTCAGAGAATTCACGGCAGCGGCATAATCCAAATCTGGTTGAGGTGGAACGGGAGCAGCAGGGGTCGGCGCGCGACGATTCTGTGCCGGCGTGGGACTGCGTATGTCGATATCGCGCCCACTCGACAGTGAGGCACGTGTACTAGACGCTCCTTCCGGACGGTCCACACCTGATTGCGCAAGCGGTCTTGGGGGCTGGGTCGGAAGCGGTGGCGGCGCTTCAGACTCGTCGGTGAGGGACACGACGTACTCCATCAGCGAAGTATTTACCCTTGCTGCGGCTTGACGGATCGGTTCAACTCCGCTAGCCATGGCCGGCAGGAGGTGGGCTAGGATCTTTGGGGTAAAAGGCAGGACCTCTTCAGGACAGATATCCAAGAAGGACACTATCCAGCGTAGGCTCTCCAGAACGCTATCCTCCTCTATATGATGTTGAGACTTTGCAATCGTATCCTCTAGGAGAGAGAACCTACCTAGGGGAGAATCAAGGGTTGCGGTCAGAATCTCAAGAATTTCCTTGTAGTTGATGGCGACATCTTGCCCTGGAACCCAGTCATCTTCGCTGCCGGCCTCGTCCTCATCCTCGTTCGCAGTGATGGACTCTGCGTCGTCAATCTCATCCGGTGCAAGCTGCACACTGCTACTATCGACCGACTCTTCTCGTTTTCTCTTACCGTCTCCTTTTGACTTCCTGCTATCAGCGATCCCTTTTCTCACTCGGGCAATTCGCTTGATTTCATTCAAGAACTTATCCAAACACGTCTGCGTGGCAGCATGGACGTCGGCATTGTTTCTGTTAAGAAATTTCAGCAAGCCTGCTAAAAACTCGGGCAAGTATGTAACCAGCTCGAGATCCGGGATCGAGTCGAGTAGAATGATCCAGCCGACAAGAAACGTTCGAGTAAAGGGGTTCATGATCCATATACGCTCTTTCAAGAGAGGAATGAACTTCGGCAGGGAAAATGCTGTTGGTAACTTGGCGTTCGAGGAGGAGCCTTGGAGCTCCGAGTCCTTTGGCTCGTCGGCCGGGGATTGTAAAACGGATACATATGTGGCAGCAGATTCCGTTACGATGTCCTTAATCAGGCGATCCAGGAGTTCGGCACCGTTTTTAACGGAAAGCTCTGAATCCGCCCCTAGCTGCAGCCAAAAGAATACAGATTAGACCGAGCGAGGAGACGGGATGGGGAGGACCAAGCACCTTGCATAATGCGTCAAATATATAGTTGAAATATGACAAGATCTCCCCCTTGGCGACCTTAGCGATGTTATACATGGACTCGCAGGCGTAATACCGAACGCGAGCGTCCTGGTCCGTAAAGCACGCAACGACAGGACTAACTATAGTTTCGAGATGTGCTGGCAGTTCCTTTGCAAGCGCGTCAGCTTGGGCAAGCTCGAGGAGGTGCCCGGAAAAGGCTGAGAAAGGCCAGAAGTAAGGGGAGACAAGGACTACACACTGAACCGAGGGCAATGGCGGCGGCAGCCAGACCTATCAAACCTCCGTTCCGAGCGTGAGGCTGGTGGATCGCATAGGCATATTCATTGCACAATTGGTTAATGATATTCTCGATTCTGGTGTAGTCCTTGGCCACCACGAGCTCCCGAATAGAGCGCTCAAGCCTGGAGGCGCCGGTTAACCTTTGCGTAATAGGGACGCAGAAGGGACGTGGGTCTCAACAAGGGACATACTCAAGAGCACCAGCCTTCCTCTTATCATAGAGCTTGTCGGTGAGAAGACGTTGGACAGTGGGCTCCATGGCTGTGCGGTCTCGTCTCGCCTCTTCGTCGTCTCGCCCCGAGTCAGGTCACGTTACCATGCTGGGGTGAGGCAACCCGGGTCTATACGCAGCACGCAGGTGCCCGACGCTGTCGGACGGCCCGGACAGACGAGCAGACGAGCAGACGACGGGGACCAGCGAGAGAGAGTCGGGTGCCAGAAGCCCGTCGATGAGGGGCGCGCCAACACCCAGGACACCAAGAGCTGGTGAGCGAGGGAGGCGTGGAGATTAACGTGGTGGCGAAAGTCTTGCGGCCTGCGGTCGTCGTAGATGCTCAAGCCTTGGAATGACAGCTAGATTGATAGGCGGAAGCGAGCCCGAATGGGATGAAGCATCAACCAGGTAGGTGTGCGTAGATATGGGATAGAGGCAGGTTACCTACCTCCTCCTTGGGTTGGCCATGTTTAGCAAGACGTCAAAAGGAGCCTAGTAAGTACGGAGGTACCTAGCCCAAGGTACAGGAGGAGGTACCTAAGGCACGTATTACAGGTAAGTACTTAGGTACATCTTCTGTACCTACGGGTACATGGGTACCTTAGAGGTACTTCTCCTATCCGGAGGATAATTATATAGAAGTACCCCTCCAACGCTGTCGAAGTTGCCAGATTGCCCGTGTAGGGTCTTTGTTTAGTAGATACTTCTCTGGGCACGCGGGTTCGCGCCCTTTTCGGGGTACCATCTAAGCAGAAGACGTTCCCCCATCCCTCAGACTCAACCCGACCTGTCTTCCGTCGTCATTCCCTTGCTTCCCCGTGGCTCTTTTCAACAGGCTGGCCGGCTAGACATCTCCCAACCCTCTTCACTCGCCTTCCTCCTCCTCCTCCTCCTTCTCTCCTCCTCTCCTCCTCTATTCCCTTGTCTCGCATTCGTGAAATTCGTCCTTGACGCATCGTCCTTCTTTCTCGATCCTCCTTCCGCGCCCATCTCTCGTACTGCGTTGCTCCCCGACAGCCTTCCTCTGACTTGTGGCCTGTTGTGCCCTGTCTTCAAACCCTGACGGCGCCCGCGCCAAACGGGCAAACTCGCAAGGCCTCTATACCTGTTTTTCTTTCGCGTCGCCATGATCGTTCCTCTGTCGACGCTAGCTCTGGCGGCCGCCGCGCTGTCCTCTACCGGCCTTGTTCACGCACTCTCTGCCACCGACATCCGCTCCGACGCCCCTATCTCTTCCCTGCTCTCCTCGGCACAGTCTCACCTAGCAAGAGGCGAAACGAGCGAGGCATTGGCGTACTACGATGCCGTCATTGCCCGTGACCCCTCCGACTACTTGACCTTCTTCAAGCGCGCCACTACCTACCTCTCCCTCGGTCGCACGTCGCAAGCCACCTCCGACTTCAATAAGGTCTTGGAGCTGAAGCCTGGCTTTGAGGGCGCGCATATGCAGCTTGGAAAGCTGAAGGCGAGAGCTGCCGACTGGGATGGAGCCAAGGATCACTACCTCTCGGCCAATCGTAAGGCGGGCAGCCCCGAGTTCGATAGCCTGGTTGAGGCGCAGGGCGCAGCAAAACTAGCAGAAGCAGCGGCAAATCAAGGGAACTGGGACGAGTGCATCAGCCAAGTGGGAGAGGCCATCTTCGTCGCAAACCGGGCGGCCCCCCTCCGCGAACTGCGTGTCAGGTGCCGGTTCGAGAAAGGCGAGGTTGAGGAGGGCATGAACGATCTGCAACACATCCTCCAGATGAGGGCGGGTGACACCACTCCGCACCAACAGATTTCTGCGACTACATTCTATGGGTTGGGCGATCTGGAGCAGGGCATGGCGCAGATCAAGAAGTGTCTACACTCGGATCCGGAGTCGAAGCCGTGCAAGAAGTTATTAAAGCAACAAAAGAGCATCAGCAAGACACTAGCCAAGGTCAACAAGGCCTTAGAGAGGAACCAGCCCATGACCGGCGTGAAGCTGCTCGTGCCCTCTGGCGAAGAGCAGGGCCTAATTGACGAAGTCGAGGGGCAGATCAAGGAACTTAAGCAGAGAGGTATCATCCCGGCGCGCGCGCCAAGTACCCTGCTGGCAAGACTAGTCGAGATGGCCTGCCAAGCCTACTACGAGGTACGACGATGACTTCTCGGGGCGGGGTGTATCGGAAGTGGCTGCTAACCAACTCACTCTACAGGCGAACAGCAAGAAGGCCAGCATATACTGTTCGAAATCTCTAGCGCTAGACGAGAACTCCTTCTACGGCCTTCTGTATACGGCAAAGATCCAGATGGAAGCCGAGGAGTTCGAGCACTGTATCGGCACACTCAACAAAGCTGCCGAGGCTAGGGCCGACAAGCGGGATATCGTCCAACCCCTCCAACAGAAGGCGCAAGTCGCACTCAAGCGCAGCAAGACCAAAGATTACTACAAGGTTCTCGGCGTCTCCCACGACGCCGACGCACGGCAGATCAAGGCAGCCTACCGAAAGCTGACCAAAATCCACCACCCGGACAAGGCCGCGAAGCAAGGCCTAACTAAGGAGGCGGCTGAGAAGAAGATGGCGAGCATCAACGAGGCGTACGAAGTATTGAGCAACCCAGAGCTAAGGGAGAGATTCGACAGGGGGGACGATCCAAACTCTCACGATCAGCAGAACCCGTTCCAGGGGCACCCGTTCGGCGGTGGCAACCAATTCATGTTCCAGCAGGGCGGTGGTCAACAATTCCAATTCAAGTTCGGATCTGGGGGCGGTGGCTTCCCGGGAGGGTTCCCATTCGGCTAAAAGCCTCGCATGTGAGGTTGTAAGTTTTTTTTTTTCTTTTTCTTTCGGGATGGAATCAGAGGGCTGGAGTTTGCGGCGAGGTGTAGATACCTATGTTCTTTTCCTCCTAGGCCGGCGTACAGCCGTAATATATATTCGACTAGGAACGGATACGCCCTCGGCGGCGATGTCCAACCAGCGACCCAACCAGTGTTTCGACTATAGAGGGGTTTAAAATACGCGCTCCATAGCATGACATATTGCCAGCCAGTTGAGAATTGAGAGACATCGAAGACGTAATTCTCTAGCGACTATAATAGTGTCGCCCGTTGTGGGCCCTTTAATAATAAAGGAGACCACGAAGAACTAACCGTGGAAATACAAAAGCTTAGAGACGTCGACGTGGATTATGTTGCATCCCCGTTCCAGCATATTAGCTAGCATGCCGAGGTTAGCTTGCTTTCCAGGTGGGCGGGCAACTCATCCTTCTTTGTCCCTCTGCCGCCGACCAGGACAAAAATACCTATTCCACCCCCACCCGCCCTCACTTTTAGCGTGTCTAGGGGTTGGTTCTGCCTAAAGAATTCTGACGAAAAGTGCCGCGTATGTGCGAATATATACTCTCGCCGCTCCCAGGGGCGGGAATGATACGTATGGCTTGTCGAAAACTTCTCCCTTCCTTCCCCTACCCTCTACTCTCGTATCATGTGGGCATTCACCCTAACTTAAGGGTCCATGGGAAAGACGGCTAAGGGAGGGGAGGAAGCAACTGACAAGTGTCCAAAGGCCTTCACCACATACACATACGCAGCCTGCGCATGTGTGGTTAATATATGCGTACGCGCCAATTCGTCCGTATCTGGGCGCAGCAGCGAGTCGTCCTTTTCGTGGGTTTGACAGCGAGAGGAGAGGGAAGGAGATGAAAGGTCAACTCGGCGCTGATAATACATGTCACCATTTCAGAGAAATACACCATCCTCACGTTCTCTCAGTCCCCTACCGCTATCCCGCCGTCTCATCCTGTTTCGTACACGTTGGACCGACCATAATACCCTTTGTCTATATATACACCGTCCGAATTGGTGGTCTCTCAGCCAAGGCCGGATCCAAGCCTCCCTGATATCCCCCTTCTTATTGAAGTGGCAGGCGATAACTTTTTTGGGAAAAAAACAGCCTTAAAACAAAAAACTGCCCCCCTTTCATCGGCTTGACTCGTGATAGGACGAGGCGGGGGTACGTTGGTGGTGAAATCTTTTTCTTTTCCGACCAAGGTACCATCTCTTTGAATAAATTTGCCGTCGTTATCATTGGGTCCGCCTCGATTGGTCAGGTAAGAGTCGGGGGTTTTAGAGAAATGAGTTCTATGTACATAGGCGTCTATCTACCCAGATGCGCTCCTATTCCTGGTTTTCAGGTCCCTTCTCTTCCTATTTCCTGTCTCATTCCTGTTGATTGCTCGCGAACATCTTCCGGGTCGTCTGGGGAAAAGAAAAATCCGAGAAAGTCGCCGCGATTCCGCAAGACACGGCGTAAGTGTTGGCTAACAACGCACCTAACACGGGAACCTCGTGTCTCTTGAGGGCGTAAATTCACCGCGGCAATGCTCGGGACATTTGGTGGGCCGAATGGTGGGACGGACACAGAGCAAATAGGCTTCTCTTCACCGGTCAACGAGGCAGGCGAGCGAGCCTCTAAACCAAGCAACACCGGATACCCGCAGGCTCAGACTCGGGCTCGGTCCTATCTCTCGGATTTATGCTGATGACGGGGGATCGGCAAGATAAGGGGCCGATTTGATGAAGCCCATCCCTGACGATTCCCCCTCCCCCTCCTTGTTGTGACAAGCGAGAAAAAAAAGCATTTGAGTCGTGGCCAACATCCCCATCACGATGCCGCTGCATTGGTGCGAATAAAGTAGGCCCTGCACACGCATAAACGGTGAGCTCGAGCGACTGGCGGAAGCGCGGAACCCACGCAATAGAAAGCAGGGGAAAAAATTGCACTCACTTTGAAGCCTCGTAAGCCGTCCAGCAAATCGCCGTACTCGGCATTGTAGTCACGACTCTCGGCCGAACACCCTTGAAAAATCCGCGCAAGCCTTCTCGCCGGTACATGAGCCTGCACCCCGCCATGAACCCGTTTACCGACCGGAGTTCCGCATCAGCGGCGCTGCCGCGAGTCTGTAGCATCGTCTTGATTACGTCCATGGGGGTTGTCAGGGCAGCGGCAAACCCGCCGGCAGCGGCACCCGCCATGCAATGCGTAAAGGGGTCGTATTTCTTGACGGGGTTCATAGTCGTGGATATCGATTCGTAGGCGAGGAACTGCAGCGCGGTGAAGGGGACGGTCATGGACAGAGTTGTCGGGTAGGAGACGTAGAACGCGGATAGGCCCTCGGTTCTGTATACGTAGCGGGCGCAGTCTGTCATCGAACGGTAGATCTTGCTTGAATGTTGGATTTGCATACGTTGTTTGATGACTGCGACCGTGGTCGGGTTAGGAACGGGTCCCACTGGTATCTCCAAGATTCTGCTAGACCAGACATACCGTCGAAGGGATTCATGAGCGCATCGCTGGCTATAGTTGCGCAAGCTCCGCTTGTGGCTGGAAGAGAAGGCGGTTAGACTTGACGTGTCCGATTATCGGATCGATGCTCGATATGAGGGGCGTCTGAGATAGGGATGGTTATGACTTACCGGCCGCGAGAGGATGATGGACACCGGCTCTGTTGCCGCCCATCAGGTGCTTGACGGCCTCGTACGTCGCGAAGTAGATTGCGTGCGCGGGACCTAAAAGTCGGGCGGTGAGCGAGATAACGACCACATCGACATCGCCGTGCCGCTGACAGGCACGCAACATACCGGCTCCAACCACAACACTAGACATTCCTCGCCATAGCTTCAAGACGCCCTCTCCACTTGCTATGCGCATCGTGCTCTGGATCATCCCCTTGTACGCTGCGCCTGCGGAAGGATTGATAATTTGCATGCGCGTCTGCGTTTATAACGTGGGTCAGCTCTAGGAGGACAGTCGAAGAGGTTCGGGTCGAGGGTCGGAAATAGGCGCACCTTGATAGCATCAATCGGATACATCACAGTATGTTCCTATCGTCTCGTCAGCCTCTCCCTACCCCGCGCCCTCCTCCATACAAGCCTCGACGGAACATGTGTATGTATGCGTACACATAGCTCTGCGTACACAAGTCTGCGCAATCGCGCGTAGGCGTGCAGGCAAGTGCAGAAGGGCACATATGTGAATATATGCGACAACGATAAGGCACGAGGAGCACAAAGAGGCAGAATATACGAAATGACGGTGGTCGAGGCGTACAGCTATACCAGCAAAGGCCCCGGCGGCCATGTTCTGCGCGAGGGAGAAATTGGGTGGGAGGGACTCGTAGCTAGAAGAAGGTCGACCTGTGTCAGCACGTCGCTAGGACGGCTTCGTTTGCTCGCCGCAGGGGGGTAGGGGCAGAGCAGGACGACGTACTCATAGTCCTCGACGGGCTCGGCCGTTGGCTGGGCCATTTTGGCCACAGCTGAGGAGCCTTCGCCGAAGGCTTTCGGTTGAAGAGCCAGATTTACGTCGGCGTGGGGTCGGAGGCGGGTTGGTCTCGAGAGTCGGTATCGAGGGGGACCGTCAGCGCTGGACTCCAACGCAACCAGCGGGGGTCGATCGCGCAAATGCGATAGCAAGAGCCGGCGAGGCGGGTAGTACGGGGGGCGATAATGGAAGGTAGTCTCTCCGAGGATAAGAAGGGAAAAAGTGAGGAGACAAGTAGAGGAGGAAAGAAAGGGCGAGGCTTGGACGGGGTGCGATCTGTAGTAGGGCGGGCGGGTCTGGTTTGGGGGGGCGATGGAAGACGAGGTGAATTCACAGTTGACTCGAGCACGTAGGTATGTACGGGCGGAATTGACGGGTTGGACGGATGGGACAAGTAGGTAGATGTATTGAACGAGATGCACGGAGGGAGAGGAGTCCGAGTCGGAGATGAAGGACGGACAAGTTGGTCGATGGTCGGTGATACGGAAACGGTAACTACCTCTCGCTAGAAACTCGCCTTGCCTCTGTTTTTTTTTTTCCCTCGTTCCCAACCCGTCCAAACATGTCCAGGCACCGCATTTCGGAGATCTCAACCGGGGCCAGACTGGCAGATGTTCCCGAACGGTACCTCGACAGCCACAATAACTCGCTTAGGTACGTAGCGAATACCTCCCGCCACAGCGACCAATCGCGACGACGTCGAGCCCCACAAGAAGCTGAGGGTGAAGCCGAGGCTGAGGCTGCGGCTGACGGGAGAAGACGTGTGGCTCGTGAGGGAAGTCGGGTGGAGTGCGTCACGTGACGGCGGGCCACACCAGCATCCGTCCGCCATATGCCGCCGCCACATGTGACGGGCGTATTATGTAGGTACCTATCTAGGTACCTGTAGTGACAGGATCAGATAAAACCAGCCCTTGGGCGCACTTCATCTTTCTGCTTTCCGGCTTTCCTTGAAATATCAACTGCACTTTTTGCTTACTACCCGGATAGTACCGTGACGCACGGTTACCCCCCCCCCCGTCTACGCAGCTTACCTGTCTGCCTCGCTAGGTACCCGGCGTATGTGGTATGTGAGGCTGTCGGCATTCCGCGTATCTGATCTTAGATGAATCTGGCCTAACTTCAGGTGCCTAGGTGCCCATCTCGGGTTTGGTTAGGTACTTCGGGAGGGAGGTAGAGTACGACGATGTACATCTGTCCAGTCCGTGACAGCGCCCATGTGGTTATGCAATTGGCCAATTGGAGGTGTATGTACGTCACATTCAGCCGAGCTAAGATCCACTACTACGTAGTACTGCATATGTAGATATACTGCTAAATCCTGCCGCATCCACCCAGCCCCGCCTCTGGAAAGGGGTTCGGCAGCGGCCATCACGTGATGACCCCGCGTTGGATATGGGTCTTGGGCTGTGCCGCGGGGGTTGTACTGCGCAGTACATCCCGGTACGTCCAGTACTGACGATCGGCCTAGGTGGGGCCCTGACTTGCTAACCATAGTGATTCAGTGCTGAGTGGGTAGCATTTTCTTTTCGACGCTGGCGGCGAGAAAGTGGGAGCCAAGCCTGCCTACTTATATACCTATATCGACAACACCAACCAGGCCAGGAAACGCTCTCCATTTTCTCCCAACGCCAGAATACTATACCTTCGTGTCCCTTCGTATCTGTTGCATCTCCTCTCTTCTCCCCTCCCAGCGCTCTCTATCCACCCGCCTCGCCCGACATGTCCGCGACTAACAGCTCCACGGCTACGAACGTAAGTCCATCTATGCGCCTCGCCCTCGTCGGTATGGCGAGCTCACCACTCGTCCTCTTAGGGCGCCAACGGCTCGAATGGAGCGAACGGCTCCACGACTCCTCCGCGACGGTCGAATCCTTACCAACCCAATCCGGGCGAATTCCTGTCCAATGTCGGCAGATTCAAGATCATCGAATCAACTCTCCGCGGTCCGCCCTCCCTCCTCTGCCGCTCCGACCCTCTCTGTCTGCTCTGACTAACTGCCTGGTCAGAGGGAGAACAGTTCGCCAATGCCTACTTCGACACGCCAACCAAGATCAACATGTAAGCTCTCCCCCACCCTGCCTCCAGCGCTTGCCTGACACCGCTTCTCCTAGTGCTAAGGGTAGGTCGAACCCTTGATGGATGAGGGCGTCCCGGGTGTGTCGGCACTAAGGAGTTACTCCCCCTGTAGCCCTCGACGCCTTTGGTGTTGACTATATCGAACTCACATCTCCCGCCGCTTCTGAGCAGTCGCGCTTGGATTGTATTGAGATCTGTAAGCTTGGTCTCAAGGTGTGAACACCTCCGCCCTTCTGAGCCTCGCTCGCCTCCTCCCCCGCCGTGTCCAATAATAGGCTGACATTTACCGGAGGCCAAAATCCTGACTCGTGAGTCATCGGCCCTTGCTACCCACACCTTGCCCCACTAACCCCGTGGCTACCAGATGATACGATGTACATTACCCGCCTGTACGTCTATGAAGGCATGCTAACGTGGGGGCACAGCTTGTTCGGACACTGAGAGGTGTTGTCTGTGAGTTGTTAGGACGCCTTCCCCTAAACTATATCTGCATACCGGCTTACCTCCTCTCCAGCTTGCGATATCGAAACCCACTTTCACAATGACACAGGGTGTGCTATTGCCAACGCGTACGTGTTCTGTTTAGCGTAGGCTTACCACCCATGTCGCTAATCTGGGAATAGCTTCTGCGCCCTCGAAGCTGGCGCGACACACGTCGACACTAGCGTGCTCGGGAGTAGGTACCCTCGCTAGCCAGAACTCGGGCAATAGTCGCTGACATCGCTTGCCTATAGTTGGTGAGCGTAACGGGATCACCCCCTTGGGTGGCTTCCTAGCACGCGTGGTAGTCACCAGCCCAGACTACGTGAAGAGCAAGTACAGGCTTGACATGATTAAGGAGGTGAGCTAGCTATAGAGATACACGTTTAGTCGGCGCACACGCTAATATCTATTAGATCGAAGATATGGTGGCTGAGGCAGTAGAGATTAACACCCCCTTCAACAACCCCATCACCGGTTTCTGTGCCTTTACTCACAAGGCGGGAATTCAGTAAGTGTGCATCTCTTTCCAAAATTACTTGCTCCTTGTCGCAATAAGTTGTCTCTCATAGGGACTCGCCCTTCATCGGGATCTCCAAGAGTAATCCTTCTTGCGGATGGCAGTCCTAACCTCATGCGTTACAGTGCCAAGGCGATCCTAAACAACCCTTCCACGTACGAGATCCTGAACCCGGAAGACTTCGGCCTGACGCGATACGTACACTTTGCCTCCCGGTTAACGGGTTGGAATGCCGTCAAGACTCGAGTGACGCAACTCGGCTTGAAGATGACAGACGAACAGGTCAAGCAAGTGTATGTGTCGCTAACTCTAAATGCCGATAGAAGGCTCGAAGGGCTAACTGGCTCTAGCACGGCTAGGATTAAGGCTTTGGCATCGGTACGACCGATCGCCATTGACGACGCCGACTCCATCATTCGTAGTTTCCACCTAAATCTACACACCATTACCAGCTGAGGAGTTCCGACAGTAGGCCGAGCAGAATGTGTTACTTTTTCAACGAGGAGTTGCTTTCAAAAGGCGAAAGGGGCACGGAAGATGAAAAAAAAAAGTTGTCATAGTATGCATGGCTCGGGTTCGGGGCCGAAAAAAAGTGCAGATTTCAGGCAGGCCTGCATAAAATAGGTACCGGTTACCCTGCTTCCATAGGTAATTACCGACTAGGTGGGCTCGACAGATTTCTCGAAAGTTTTCCTCTTAACTATCCCACAATACCTACGTCCGTAAGTCGTGATCTTTGGCAAACTATAGTCAGGCATCACATTGCTTCAGGTACTAACCGGAGCGACCTTAGGACCAAGTAAGCTTACCTGTGAGAACTCGAGCTGAATTATGCTTTCTGTTCCCTCACTATCCCCCACGATTAGAGTTGCTGCCCCTCTCATCCATATATACGAATAAATATATGGGTGTCGAAAGCGATGATATGAGTAGTAGTAGGTAGTCTGTGTCGAAATTCTTGTGGCAAGCAGGGTCAATTTGCCTAGCCAACAACGTATAGCAACTACTCACCTGTGTCGTCCATCCATACCGGGATGACCACGATAGCCAACCCCGTCGACTTAATAGTGCCACAAGCGGGAAGAACATCGAAGAGGGCAGTTAGCAACACAGGGTAAAAACCTGAGCGGATGATGCAAATCAGACTATGAATACCCTCTATCTCTATGTATGGATGCATCATGTACTTATCGCCTCGCCTGCTTCGGTTATACTAGGGGTGTCCCCTACCTAGGCAAACCATACAAAATACCCAAGTAGGTGGCACAGGGGAGATGGGGGAAGTGGGAGACAGGGAGACAGGACTAAAAGAATAACACCATCGTATGCCGCCCAGACTAGGCCAGCATTGCCCAATACCTGGAAGAACAAAACAAGAAAAGAGGATTCTGTCGTGGCCATAAACTCCTTTCCTTACCCCGCAGGCCTGCCATGATTTAGGGGTAGGGGGGTGCTTCACATAACGCCCCTCTGATTCATGTGGGCCTGCTGAAACTGCTTCAGCATCGTCACCACTCCAGGCCCGTCGTCGCCGTCCGTGGCAGTACTGTTTTCCCTGCTAAGGCCGCGCCCTGGAGAGTCCTCCCAGGTCGACTCCCCTAAGCGGGCGACGCTCTCCTCGATATCGCCGTCATCGGTGTAATTTGTCGCCTGCCGCCGGATCGCGCCCCTCGAGGCGCCGTCTTCTAGCGACTCTTCAATTATGTCTCTGTCCCCGTAATACGTACCACGCTGCTGGCGCACTCGCTGTGGGGTGCGACCCGCCGTGAAGGAGGCCGAGGGTTGGTGGTGAGGGTCGAGCAGCATCGAGGCCATCGGCGACGGCGCGACGGCAGCTGGCCCGACGCGTGGTGTTCTCCCCGCGGGTTGAGGCCCGGGCGGCGCTCTACTCCTAGGCCGCTCGCCGAAGCCGAGACGGGATCCCCGCATGTCCGGAGCCAATGTCGGTGACATTAAGCCGGGGAAGGTGGGCGGAGGGTGAAATTGATGACGGCCAGCCGGCCCCAACGCGTGGCTGCCCGGTAGTCCGCTTCTAGGGTGGTAGACATAGTTATCGAGGAAGCCGTGCAGCGAAGCTTGCATCTTGCCGTGTTTAGTTGCGTAGTAGTCTTCACGGGCATCGTGTATGTTGCCCTGCTGGGGTCTCGTGTTGCGTTGGTCTTTCTGGAAGTCGAAGACGGCGAACGAGCAGACGTAGCCCAACCCGTCGACATGGATTGTGAATTCGCGGAAGAAGTCGATGATCTGATCGCTGCATTTCGGCAAGCTGAAAAAGAGCACCAAAGGCGTGACTAAGACCCCGAGTATCTCCTCGAGGAAGATGATGATCCTAGACTTGTAGAGCTCGGAAAAGTCTGCCTTCACCTCGTAGCTGTGGAGCCGGCCTTTCCATTGGTCCGGTTGGTAATGCGTGTATTCGATGACGCTCTGCATCGCGTACTCGGGATCGAAGACGTCGTTCTCCTCCGATATCATGCCGCGAGCAACCGCCCATACGGTGGTGAGAAGCGCGACGAAGGCCAATGCGTTCATCCCGGGAAACAAATCAAAGTCTACAAACATCTCCGGGTCAGAGAAGCCGACGATGGCCAGCACGGCGATCAGGGCGCCGGCAAAGAACTGCACCGCCCGAGCAGCGGATTCCGTCTTCTTCTTGGGGAACTGATCGATATAGTGTTTCGCGAATGGGTAAGACATGTTGAGGCGTTCCTCGAAAAGATGCGGCAGCTCGTTGAATTCCCGAAACTTCCACCTCGCTAGCGGCGTGTACTGTCTTGCCCCGAGCGACGAAGTATTGGTTTTGAATTCCTAGAGAACGGGTGAGCAAGTCGCCATTCACTGTCAGCCTCCTCGTATTTAGCGCGCTACTCACGTTGTAGTAGGTGAAGACGAAGTCGATGACGAGGCCGCAAGCGACGAAGGGGGCGAAGATGAGGTTCATCACCGCAGCGAATGCGAATCTCGTCTGCATCTGCCTGCTGAGATGCCCCCGGTGGTCTGATTTGAGGACGCGTTGGTGGACCTGGCCGCCCTCGTTAAACACAAGATCCAGAACTCCGAACTGGACGGTCCACTCGAGTGACTTCGAAAATAGCTGCTGACTCCGGAGGAACGGAAGCGGGGCAGTGAGATCGAGTATGTCCTTGTTGAAGAGCGCGATGATGTAGTTCTCGCGTCTCATTAGCCGGTTGGCGATATCGTGGGCATCGAGCCGCTCCTTCGATTGGCTGGCCACATGCCGCCCCAGCTGGCTTGAGATGAAGCGCCGCTGCGACGGCGTAATGTTAGTAGCAGTCTTCACATTCTCATCCCGAAGGGCCGTGATCTTGGACACGACATCCTGCCAGGAGACGGTTTGCATATCCTCGTCCGGGATCTCTAGCAGGTAGACGAAGAAATCGCGGATGTGCATCAAGCGCGGCACGTCGAGGACCCACTGGATGGTCTTCCAGACGAAGTAGAAGCTGCAGACCCAGAGACTCAAGTTCCAGATCCCCCACATGTGCTTGGTGCACTGGGGGATCATGATCTGCGTCAAGCTCTTGCTCTCCCGAATCTTGCTGTAGTCTACACACTGAGATAGCAGGGTGAGCAGAGTTGCGACGAAAGCGACCTTCCTGCTGAATGTGAGCCTGGAGGGAGGAAAGGGGGCGTCTCGGGAAGCTACAAGGTAGCAGGGGGCGGGGGAGGCTCACAGCAGGTGTAGGAACCTTTCGAGTAGGATACACCATATCCCAGCGCCTAGGTAGTAATCGTAAACGTCTCTGATGAAGACGTCGAGATTGGAGACACTAGCCCATCTGAACATGGCCTTGTCTTTGGGGCTGGCAGCGAAACTCACCCTCCCCGCGGGGATGCCCGTCCGATTCCGGGTCGGCGACGGACCGTATCCTTCATCCTGGTGTAGTCTCTGCTGCGCCTGCGCAGTCTCCCACTGCGCCTGTATCCTCCCGCTCGAGGGACTCGACATGGTATGGTGTCGTGGCCGCCGGGAGGCGGTTCTGTGCGGGCTGGGCCGAGAGGTGCCGGCGCTAGGGCCCTCGACGAGGAGAGAGGCGGGGACATCGTTATCGGCGTCATCCTCGGGTGTAAGCCACCGCGATGGCCCCGCACCCTGCCTCTCTGGCCTGACGACGCCACGCCGTGCCCCGCTAGGGACGGTTTCGGGACTGCGTGGCGTGGAGGTGCGGCTGTCGCCAAGGCCGAGACCGCGGGCATGTTCGAGTTCGTCATCGCGGAAGTGGTGGGCCAGGTTTTCTTCGTCTAGGGCCAAGCCTGCCCTTCGCTCGACGTCGCCATCTGGGTCGTCTTGGACCCGGTCATACAGGGATCGGTGGTCGGATGGGACGAGACGGGTGAAGAGGCTCGGAGGCATGATGTCGGTTCGTGAGCATTTGTATGGCTGCGTTTATTGGTTTTTTATTTCTGATTCTCGGGTCGAGCGAGCGAGGATCCGGATCACACCTGATCCCCTCGCTCATGACTATGACTGATCAGCCAGGCTACCACAGGAGCGAGCAGGACGTCATTGAGGAGCGAGAGCGCGGGGGAGTATGCTGCAGGGTGCGGGCTCGACTCGGCAGAGGCAGTGTGCTTGTGCTTGTGCGTGTTTGCGTGTTTGTGCCCGTGTTTGTGTATGTGTGTGTGATGGGTGCAAATGGAAGACGGGAGCGAGCGTGGGAGTTGGGAGGAGTCCCAAGTCCAGATATAGGAGAGAAGATGTTTGGACGTCAGCGGTAGCTGTGCGAGATGGGTCGCCGGGTTGGGTCGGTCATCTGGGCGCCTATCGAGCAAGTCACCGGGCCTGCTGCCAAAGCGTCTCTGGAGAGCTCTCTTATCACCCCCCTGCTCTAGTGCGTACAGGCAACCTGCCTGAGTCTTATCCAGGTTGTTGTTGTCTTATCTTATCAGGCTTATCGAACTCGTTCCTATCGAACAGATGAAGTCATCCAAGTCTCACCTCCCCAAAATGCGTTCTGCAAGCACCGAGGTACCTAGGTACCTTTTCGGCGTCCAGCACCTGCTAGGGTAATCTCTCTTTCCAACTGTCTGCCACCTGGTTGACACGCTTCCTTGTTGTCTACCCTCACCCCGACTTCTCTTCTTCCTTTCCCCTCCACATCCACACACATGCGCGAGAACACACACGTCTTAGGTATTACAGGCCGACCTCCTAGTCTAGGCTGCCCTGCCTATGAATACCTATCTTTACTCCAGAAAGCTCATCTTGGCAGGGTCTGGGGTCAAAGGGCCGCTTATATACCCTCTCGCCTTATGGCCTCCTTTGGGGAGCAGATGAACCATAGCCCCCTCCCCCCCCTTTCTCAGGATAGGATGATGCAGACTTGAACCTCCCTCCTCGAGTGTGCTGTGTCCCGTGTGCCTGACTGAAAAACTTAGCATGGCTGAAGCTGGCCTCAACTCACCCTCTCTGTTTGCGCGAGATGGGATATCACTAGGACCCCTATCACCCACCAGCCCCCCCTCTCCGGGCTTCCCACCCGGACGGGCCTCGAACCCGCTATCGTCCAAGGTAACGTCCGTTCTATCGACCTCTTACGCAGATGCCGAGTTTCGCGAATCCCTTGCGCTGCTAGACGAGCGAGGCATTAGCAACAATGCCGAGACGCGGAGACAACTACGCCTCGATGTCCAGAAAGAGGTCATCGACAGTAACGGCAAGATAATTGCCGAGTTCGGAAAGGTGGCCGAGCAACTAAGGAGGATAGGCGCCACGGTCGACGGGCTAAACAAGAGCTACCAGGAAATGCGAAGTCATGTTACCACGGCTCACGAAGCGACATCGCAAGCCCTCGCGGAGGCATCCGCTCTCATGGCCCAGAGGCGGAGCATCGAGACGAAACAGCAAGTCTTGAAAGCTTTCCGCGAGCGCTTCATCCTCTCCGAAGACGAGGCCGCCTCGCTAACCCTGACGTCTGAGCCGGTCGACGACCGTTTCTTCGCCGTCTTGGCTAAGGCGAAGCGCATCCGGAAGGACTGCGAGTTCTTGCTCGGCTTCGAGAGCCAGACTCTCGGCCTCGAGGTCATGGAGCAGACCTCCAAGAATCTGAACGCCGCCTTCCAAAAGCTGTACCGCTGGGTCCAGAAGGAATTTAAGACCCTGAATCTCGAAAACCCCCAGATCAACGCCTCCGTGCGCCGCGCCATCCGCGTGCTCGCCGAACGACCCTCCCTGTTCCAGAACTGTCTAGATTTCTTCGCCGAGGCTAGGGAGCAGATTTTGTCGGACGCGTTTTACCTGGCGCTGACGGGGACACCAGCTTCCGGCGCGAAGGACCATTCGGTGAAGCCCATCGAGCTGGTCGCCCACGACCTGCTTAGATACACGGGTGACATGCTAGCCTGGACGCACTCGGCCACCGTCAGCGAGAGGGAGGCTCTCGAGGCTTTATTCATCTCCGATGGGAACGAGATCGCCAAGGGAATCCAAGAAGGGCGCGAGAACGAGCTATGGAGGCTGATGGCTGACGACGCCGACGGCCCGCGCGAGTTCGATGCGGTCAGGGCCCTCAACGAACTTGTCGACCGCGATGTCTCCGGCGCGTCGCGGATATTGCGGCAGCGGGTCGAGCAAGTCATCCAGACTAACGAAGAGATTATTCTGGCATACAAACTGGCGAACCTGCTCGGGTTCTATCGCGTGACGTTCTCGAAGCTGCTCGGCGACGACTCGGCCTTGCTACAGTCGATGCAGAACCTCGAGGCCGAGGCGCTGCGCCAGTTCCGCTCGCTGATGCGGGACCACATTACCACCCTCGAGGCCGAGTTCCAGCACACGCCCTCCGACCTCGCCCCGCCCGAGTTCCTCCAGGAGGCGCTCAAGCAGCTCACCGCCATCATGAGCACGTACGAGACCTCTCTCGCCGCCGAGGACGACCGAGAGGCCGACTTCGAGCCCGTGCTCGCCGAGTCCTTCGACCCCTTCCTCGCCGGCGCCGAGAACATGGCCCGCCGCCTCCCCGCGCCCTCGGACTCCATCTTCCTCGCCAACTGCCTGCTCGCGGCGCGCGCCGCGCTCGCGCCCTTCTCGTTCGCGGCCGGCCGGGCCGCGCGCCTCCAGGCCGCCGTGGACGAGCGCGCCGCCCGCCTCGTGGCGAGCCAGCACGCCTTCCTGCGCGCCGGGTCGGCGCTCGAGCCGCTGCTCTCGGCGCTGGGCCCGCTGCGCGAGGGCGAGCGCGCCGACGTCGCCCGCGTCGCGGCGCGGCAACCGCCCGAGGCCCTCGCGCCCGAGGCCCTCGCGCGCGCCTCCCAGAGGCTCGACGACTTCCTGCCCTCGGCCGCCATGGACGCGCTCGAAAATGTCAAGCACCTGCAGAACGCGGCGCTCGCGCGCGCCATCACCGAGGAGGCCGCCGACCGCTTCTGCGCCGACTTCGAGCACGTCGAGGAGCTGCTCACGGCGGCCGACGAGGTGGCCGAGGAAGAATGGAGAGAGAGGGCGAGCGGGGGGGAGGGAGAAGGGCCCCCGAGTCTAAGGGCGCTGTTTCCGAGGACGACAGGCGAGATTAGAGTCTTGTTGTCGTGATGGGGAGGGGCAGTATGCTCATACATGGCACACGCACATGTATATATGTTTTTGTGGCATTCTAAGAGAGGGCAAGAGAAGATCATCGTATAGAAGTGAGTTTAGGTCGCAATCTCTGGCGTCGACGTAGATATCATTACAGCTATGTCTTTATGGATGAGTAAATGCAGATTCGAGACGCAAAAAGTTTTTGTACCCTTCGTAACGTAGGTAATGAAGCCGCCGGTATGCGCAAACCCATTTATAAAATCGTTCAGGTATACATACATACAGACATTACGTATAGACATCACCCGCTGTCTCCGATGCAGCTTGTAACCAACTCCAGGATATGATGCTAATAAGGTCCGTCCCGTGTGTTATGTAAATACCCACACGCCATCCTATTCCCTTTTCTAATGGCCTCCCCCACACGTACCGCATTATGCTTTTGCGGGTTTTCCGTCCTTAGTCCAAGTCTATACTGCCATGCCCCGATGTCCTTTTCCCCTCAGGATCCGGACTCTCTGTCCCAACCCTAGTGTCCGCGTCCTTGCTCAGGTCTGCTTTCACCTTCTTAACTGGCCACGTCGGGGCACCGCTAGGTCGCCTCGCCCTCTTGTCACCGGTCATCTCGTCGAAGTCCTCGAGCTTGGCCAGGACGGCAGTGAGACGGCGGCGAGCAGCAATCTCGCGCTCACTACTATTGCGGCCCGGGCGGTAGAATTGCTCGACTACGTGCACCGTGGCGTGGTAGCACTCGTACAACAGCAGGCGTGCTCGTGCGTTCTCGCGGTCCTCGATAACGTCGCCGTCGTACGGGAGGCTCTCGCCCTCCCCCACGCTTTCTTGCCCAGGGACATCGGCAGTACTAGACCAGACTACCGGTCCCGACGCAGACGAGGACAAGGAACCATCTCGCCGCTGATTGAAACCGCGGAGAAATTCGGGCGTGGGGCCAAGGCTAAATACTTCGGCCATCAGAGGATCACCGAAGATGCAGTTGCTCCAGTCGCGCAATCCGGTGACAGTGATAGTTGGCGCCTGGTGTCTGGGCAAGTCTTCGCCCTGACTTTCTCTTTTCTCTTCGTGTGTGCCTGTCTGCTCCTTGGTAGCTGCCTCTGTCTCCGTTTCTGATTTTTTCGACACTGGACCCAATGCCGATCGTGGGTTCGTTCCGTCTCCGTCTTTTGCGGATTTCGTGGATCTCGATAACAAGACATTAGCCTCGTTGCTCGCGTCCAACACTACTAATCTAGCTGTTGTAACACCATCCAAAACATGGCTTATCCTGTTGAAATGTGCCCTGATTGGTTCGTAACTTATCGTTACGGCCATGTCTTCCGCGTCTCTTAGAACGCCCTCTAACAGGGAATGGAATGCATTTCTCCAAGTACTTGCGCCACGACAGCCTAGAGGAGTCTGACGCGTGCCCGGAAGCTCAGCAGCCGTCTCTAGGGGTCCGACGACAGCCGTAGCGAGTCCAAAGCGTCCGTTCGGCGACGTGAGCGCCAAAAGTTGTCGCAAAAGCATCCCCTGCTGGAAATCTATGGCCCCTCTCTCAGCTCTCGTCAGGGGCGTCGTGAGTCCAGAGATAGGCACCCCCCTCGTGGGCTCGAAGAGGTTGAAGGGCACGCCCAACTCCGTCGTCAAGGAAGAGTGGGTTATGAGAATGGGCAGGTATCTGAGTATATTCCCTGTCGAATTCCGCATTTCCCCCACGTTGGCCTCCCGTTCCCTTGGCCCCGACGGATGGTCGGCTTGCGACTGGATTTCTGTGGCTTCGCGAGGCGTTGCTTCAACCTGGTGGGTGGGTTTGAGTACCTCTTCAAGGATCCATTTCGTCGCTAGGTATTCTGATAGGATCGCAGCCTGTTCTGATCGCAGTATCCTCTGCGTCCGGGGTGGCGGCAGGCTGAGGAGCAGCACTCTATCATCTGAAATCTTGATGCTGAACGATCTCAGAAGTCGGTCGGGCGGTAATAGACTGATAGACTCGACGGCGACGTGAGGGAGGGAACTTTGAACAACGGAACGAATAGACTCAAGGGAGAGGAGTCGATCCATGGAAGAGGGAGAGCGAGGCGATAGCCGCCCGGCTCGCGAAACGGGAGCTACTTGGTGACGCGAAGTCCGCCATCTTGTGGGACATGGCAGGCCGTATACTTCTCCTTTTGACGGGTGGACTGGGGGGGGGACAGGCTCGGGAATATGGAGGGTGAACAAGGGATTACCGGGACCTGCGGCGACGGAGCAAGGGTCGGTTGAAGGTAGCGTCAGCCCAACCCTTGAATTCCGGCGCATTACTTGGGCCCGCGGCATCTATCTACCTTTTGATAGGCGAAGGCGCTATAATACAGGCAGATAATTGCTCAGAGCGGAAGGTTGGAACAGGTGCTTGCCCTGGGATGAAAAATGATAGGTAGGTAGGTATATATCCAGCCTAGGCTCACACCGAGATGGGGACGTTTCCGATACAACTTCAGGAGGAGCTTGTGAGGATCCACATCCGAAATAAACCTGACCAGCTTTGGTCTGATGGGCTACGGGTGGGTGGACGGCTATGCTTTCGAATAGGACGCCTTGACGATACCAGGCAGGCGGATGCTGAAATCAGGACAACGGCGGGGAAGAGAAGCGGGCAGGAGGCAGAACAGCGCCGCAAGCGAAAGAGGTTCGGCTTTATAGATACGACGACACGATATAACGAGCTGAGTGGGCGAGATGAAGCTTTGAGACGCAAGGAATGAGGCCGACAAGAGAGTAGGAATGCATAAATATGCCACGTCTGGGAAGACGGCATACAGGCCCATTATGAGGCTAAGAAGAGGTAGGTAGGTACAGTCTGCGGGCGAATAAGGCGTCTGCTCTACCGAAGAGACGGGCATCCGACTCACGGCTCTCCGAAGTGAACTAAGACAACAAGAGGAAATACTCGCCTAAGGGAGGCGTAAGTAGGTAACGAAGAGTGGATCAGCGATCTGAAGCGGAGGCTGCATTCTAGGATATGTCTGTGTGCGTATTCCTTGCCAGACGAAAGGACGACAGCATCGTTAGAGCAAGCGTTCCACTAGCATCGAAGGGTACCCGAGCGCCAAGGCGCCAACCGAACGATTCCCAAAATTCGAGAAGCCCGACTGCATGGTGATTCAGGTCCGGCGCCACTTAAGCCAGGCGCGGGAAGCGGGCGATTCAGGCGTGCTGAGAAGGACGGACGCGCAGCAGGCAGAGCGAGGTTAGATAAGGTCAGGTCAGACAGGGTGTGACCAGGCACGACAAGGGCGGAGGTATGTACCGGCGGTATGGAGGGCAAGCGAGGGCGTCGAGGGTGGGGGAGCGAGGAGGAGGAGGAAGAGGAGAGATCGGCGACGAAACCGGGCGGTGATTCTCGCACGCTGCCCTAACGTAGTCCCACGGACGCCAGAAACCATCGGCCAGGGAGCCAGAGCGCGGCGTTCGAAATCTAGAACGCCGAGGGGGTGAGAGAAGCCGGGGATGTCGAATACGGGGTGTAGGCGTCGGCCATTGGGTTTTGGCAAGCGAAGTTGCATGGCCACGACGGCGTCTCGTCCCCAACTCTGCCGTCCAGGCTGCGCGCCAACCGAGCAGTCCAGCGGTGTGCGTGGTGGCAGCGAGCGTGGCACGGAGGAGACCAGAGCAAGCCTGGCTACCTGTCCCGGAGGTTGGGTTGCCCTTCGCAGGCTGGTGCCTACGTCGCCATCGCCTTCGCCGTCGCCGTCGCCGTCGCCTTCGCCTCACCATCTGCCAGATGGAGGTAGGCGGACGCACAGGGGAAGAAGGGATGGCGTGTGTATGTAGAGGAGGCATGCGGATCGCGCCCCATACTAGCAGCATATACCTACCTACCTGCCTACCTACCTACCTACCTACCTCCTACCTACCTACCTAACAGGCGGGACAAGAGCCCAGGGGTGGACGCGATGGACGTGCCGATGGAAGAGGCGACGCTTCGGCTGGGATCGGGTTGTAGGAGGTAGACGGGTACCTGGCTGCCTGCCTAACATAGGTAGCTACCTGCCAGCTAGGCAGGTGCATACATAGGTAGGTAGGCGCCTACCAACATAGTTGGAAGCAGGAACGAGGGAGGGACTCTGCCTACCGGAGCTCCCCTCTTGCACGCCTGCCTGCCTACGTACGTACGTACCTACCTACCTCATATCACGCACATCACGCATCATCGCCTGCCTTGAGGAGGTCGGCAGGTACCTAGGAGGTAGGTACCTAGGCAGGTGCCCACCTCACACATCGGGGAGCCTAAAATACCTCACGGCGATGTAGGTACCTAGGTATTATTATACCTACCTAGGTACCTAGGGGATAAAGTGAGAGGTTCGTTAGGCCATGTTGTCCGTGTGTCGAAGGAGGGAGGTGAGTCGCGCAGGGACGTGTAGAGACCTCCGTCCTTATACCATCCCACCCATGCAGGCGGCGCCAAGCGGGATGGGCGGGATGGGCCTTGCCCTGTCGATGGGCTCTTTTCCTGGCCTTTTCCGGGCGTGGTGAGTTGGAGGTTGCGCGAGCAAGCGAGCCGGAAATTTTGTGATTGGCCACAGGTAAGCGAAAGGGGCCGAAAGAGGCAAGGTCCCGAGCCTTAATTAGGAGCCCCAGGGCGGGTCCGCGGGTTACGGGGCCTTTCGAGAGGAGGCGAGAAGCCCGGTCGCCAACGCTACCTACTGCGCTGTATCGGGAACAGAGGCGATACCTACCTACCTACCTACCTCCTACGAAGCGCGTACGCCTGCTTTACCGGCCTGGCCTGCCTGGTAGGCAGGTACCTCCTAAGGTATCTACCTGGTAGTCCTGCACCAAACTCGCTGCGTAGTGCTGTAGGCAGATAGGTACCTGATACGTGACATCAAGGTATCGACTTTAGTACGGGTACGGTTGGGTTAGGTAAGTCCGTAAGTAGGCACCTGCCTAGAGGTGCCTACCCAAGGTAGGTAGGCAATACCACGTATAGGTATGTATACATACAGTAACAACGATCCAGAGGATAGAATGACAAATCGTCGAATCCCCGGCCGTTCTCGTGCAGTCCCCCGCCGAGATGTCTCGCCCCTGTTCGTGGCCCGGCTTACCTACATAGGACACAGGACCCAGAGCCACGAGCAACTGCTCTCACCAGCTACCTAGCTGTCTTTCCTACCGTTGACATGGTTCTGAATACAGGCACCTATCCGAAAGATTTTGTACCTAGATAGCAGCGCTGGCGGTTCCGGTGTACTATTGTACCTAGTATCGGCATCTGGGCACTAGTATACTAGCGCCTTGTTCCGAGTTGTCAACAAGCGTCCACACTCCTTCGTCAAATCTCGGTGTGTCCATCCGAAGAAGATCGCAGACGGCGTCCGTTACTGGCACATTCTTACGCCCATCCACCTGCCAGATTCCGTCTCGGCCTGAACTCTCCTGGATCCTCCACGGCCATCCTCGCTGCGGTAAAGAAAGTGAGAACGTCCCCCCCAACGAAGTGCCCGAAACCCCAAACGACATATCCTTCCCCGTATATCCTACTGTGCTCGTAACGCAACCTATCAAATCGGTCCGCGGATGGACGGCGACACTGCTATTGCGATCTAATCCGAACTCGCCCCCTCCCTCCACCTCCTCCTCCCTCTCCGACCCGAGCCTCCGCCGTGTTGTCTCTCACGCTTGGTTAGGTACATGGTTTACGCACGTCCTGGATCTACAATCGAGCGGCCAAGAAATGTCAGTCACACAGAGTAGGCTGATTGGCAAGACTTTGCTGAGTCGTTTCTCCCCGCCTGCTTATTCGATATGCATCTCTTGCCGTGACGGGCAAGAAGATGCGGCGGCGGCGAGTAGAGGATGCCAGGCCGGGCCTTTTTGGACAGGCCCCTTCCCCTTTCCCCTCTGATGGCAGGTCAAGATCTGCACTGACCAGACCAATGACACGCCAACCGTAGCGACTTCGTTACGGCGACTTGTCACTACCCCAGGATGGCTGACGTAGTGTGGCCGTCGTCGTCAAATTTATCGCAACAGGGCTTAGTGCCACTGGGCCTAGATCTACAGACTGGGCCTTGCCTACGGCACAGAATGGTCGTGGGGCACCGGCTCGAAAGGCGAATACGCCGCCGCCTGTCAGCATTCCGCTTTGATATCCTGCCACCCTTTCCCGCTCCCAAGCATCGCAGGGAGGTTAAGCGAGCCTACCGCCAACCGGATTCATCGCCCTAAACCACTGGGTGACGTTTGTTGCAAGAAGTGACGAGATCCTGCTAGTATCATGCGATCCATGTCGAGTTGATGCCTGCTAAGCGAAGCCCCCTTACGAGGTCGAGTTACGGTTGCAGCGCACATATTCATATACATATAATAAGACACAGATCAGGAGCATGCAAATGAAGCCTGGAACGGTCAGATTTGTAGCTGGCTCCTCTTGCCGTGTTCCTCGTCCGTGGAAGCCTCACTTAGGCTTCCGCACGTATCCGCTGGGAGCGCTATCGAGATTAACTCTTCAGGATTGCCCGGGCCGAAGGAATGCCTACTCTTTGCTAGGCAGAGGAAAATAAAAAGCGACAGGTGGCATTTTTGCAGACGAGATTTATCAGGAAGGCCCCATTTCTGGACTTAGATGCTGAAACGACGGCCACCATCCTGGTGCTAGGAAACCCCAACGGCTGTCGGGTATTCTCATAGATAGATCACTCTTTCTTGCTTCGATACTTCTATCATGTGTCCGGCAAGGAAATCAGAACCAGCGCAATTCCCATGGAACGCATGATCTAATGGGGGGAGGGGGGGAATAAATAAAAGAAATGAAAGCTCCAGATACCTGCGCAAGTCCCTATGTATTGCAAAGTTGAGGTCGTCACGTTAACAGAATTATCAGACCACACCTAAAGCCCCTGTCAGCAGCATCCGAATTGCCATACGAGTTGGGCCAGGCCCAAGATTCTAGGTAGGAACTGCGGCAATACGTCCAAGCTTGCGGGGGGGTTTACTTACGTGTCCGTGGAAACGGGAAAGCGAAAGGAGAGGGAGTTTCCTTGTACATAGGGAGGGAAAGGAAAAGAAGGGGGGGCGGTTATAAGGACCTAGGATAATTATTCGCCCAATACACTGCGTAAAAGATGGAGCGCAGGAAACATTCAACAGAGCGGAAGGATACCCGACTATGGACTCGTAGGTAGGCATGTTTATTTACAGTGTCTGAGGGGAGAAGAGCGGGCAGAGAGATGGCTGTTTTGAAAAGTAAATACCCGGCTTGAGCTTAGAAATGCTGCGCTATTCATGCACACCACGGCAAGAGGCTGCCACCTTTCCCCACTGGGCCGTCTGGGGCTTTGTATCAGGCTTGTGAAGATGGCCAGAACTCGTGCTGATCAGTGCCTTGCCTTACGTCTGCACATCCCAAGGGATCCCTTGGACCTCTGGGTCTGTGAGTTTTGCCCGACGTAAAGCGTGCCAACGATGCCTGGGGGCTACAAGTTCATTTCTGGCTTTTGATCCGCATCCATTCAATAGTGAGATACTCGGGTTACATAGGTATAGGGCTTGACACAAACGGGAGGAGCTGGGGAAGACCACGGCGATCCCATACGAAACCTTCCTTGTTGTTCTATCAACGCCCCTGCCTATCCTGTCCCCATTACATGTATCTGATGGGATGCCTTTCCTTTCGCTTACGAGCGAATATTTATAATGCTATATGTAGCGATGGTAATCACAACTGCGGGGACGCGAATCCGCGGCATCTTGTAAGAGGTAGGCGGCCCCAGTTCCTTGAGCAGCCTGCCACTGGACTGTCTAGATGTTCGGTTGTTGAGGGGCGTCACTTGCAGGTTTCGATGCTGACAGATAGATCTCGTGAAGATTGTACCGCTTCAAGACGTCCCAGTCGCTGTCAACGACGCTCATCCCGCAAAAGGTCTTTGGAAGTCAGCTGAATCCTGCCTTGAAGAATTAGAGGGCCTATACTTGGTAGATATCGATGAGAATGACCTTGTCAGGTGACGAAAGATTGACCTTATGACTGGGCGAGATGAGGGAAGCAACCTTCTCAATCACCTGGTCTCGGCTGAGGTTGTTATGTGCTCTGAAGGTAGGGCGAATTGCATACTGCCGAGTCAATCAGTTTTGTGTATCGAGTATCCTCACCCCTAGTTTATCAATTTACTTGTACAATGGTGGTGGGTGTGTTTGCTGTTAGTGAGTGGGTAAAGGAGTCAAGGGATAGCCTACCGAGCATGCTTCTAGTCCCGTAGTAAGGTCTCCATGCTGTGTCTGCTTGTTGTCCATGTTGGCAAGTTGAAAGTGTTCGCCTAGTACTTTGCTTGCAACCTCTTCCAAGCCAATCTCTGTCGCCTTTGCAGTCAGCGTTATGGGCGTGAACCTGTTGATAAATCGAGATCGCCTGTCTCCCTTGTCTTTCACCCCTTGAGCATCTCTGCAGATCTGCTGGACAAGCTTAACCGGGTTGATAGGCGGCCTCGTTTTCATAAAGAGCAAACAGTCCAGGTCTGTACGCATGGGCTCCAATGTTGAATCTTTTGGCGCATCTCTAGCACCCATCCCCAGGACCTCCTTCTTGATGGACGACTCGATGTCTAGGTCATTGTCTTCTTCCCCATCCTCCAAAGCCTCAGCTGGATTCGCGTACTTGATGCCGTACAGGCTCTCTACGTACTGGGCTGTCTCTGAGCGGTGAACACTAGAATGATGAGAGGGATAACGGGCACCTACCTCGCCACAGAGGGCAGTCAATTCTTCTAGGGCCTGTTGCTCCTTGCCTTTCACACAGGTGGTCCATATACCCATATCTCCCACTTCCAAACCCTTGGTCTTAAGCGCCTGGAGCTTGGCCTTATGATGTGGGGTTTGCCATCTGCCGCCACCGCCCTACTGATCATTAGAAAATTCGAATTCATGAGGCAATAGACTCTTACTTTGCTTCGTTTGGGGAGACGAGCGTCAGACCCGCTGCTGTTCCTGATGGAGTGCTTTCTCTTAGATGAGGCCAGTGACGCCATCCTTGGTACCTACGGAGCGGACCTAAAGGGACACCCTTTTTATGAAGCACGACGGACGGTGAGTTTTAGAATGAGGTATTAAGAAAAGCAGCCAGGCATGCTATGGGGGGAACTCTGATCTGAATTAATGATGGTAGCTATGCGTGTTGCCGGCTAGGTGTTACCTGGGCGTAGGTATGAGGTAAGTAATCACGGGATCATGGTTCCTAGTCCACCCAGGCGTTTACAGCGTATTAACTACGTAGAGAAAGAGGCTTAACTAAAGGTAAAGTTAGAGTTTAATAATATTTACTATTAATAAATACTATTAACTGTATATTAATATAAGAATTTACTTATTATATTATTATTAAAGTTAGTAGTAATATTTAACTAATTAATTTTTAATTAATTTTAATATAAGAGTTTATATTTAATGAAATCTTTTTAAAGTTAGTTTAATATAAGCAATGAATTTTATTAAGCAAAAGCACTATAACTTAATAATTGAAATTATGACTTAAAAGCTTTTAGTATTTTGAAAAAGTGTATTAAAACTAAACTACAAGGTTATAAAGCAATAGTACGTAACTAGCCTCCCTTTTTATATATACAAACTCTATATCAAGATGCTCTAAAAGGTAGATCGTCTTTTGTAATTTATTCGATACAGCTTTTTTTAATATAAACATCATCAGGTAGGTACGTTTACATATAATTTTATACTAGGTATCTAGACGCTGAGAGGTGGCTGTAAGAACAGGCGACATATCGACTAAACCAACGCCGCGACCACTGAAGCCAGTCGTGAGGCTGGCTGTGTATTGGCAGCATCTACATCTTGGTAGGCTTCACCGCTAGTGGTGCTCTCAGAAGTGCACGGGGCCAACGTACCATCATATTCTTCCATAACTGATGAGCCGACCGATACACGTGTCTGGTGTATACATATCATCCACGAGGTCTAGTTTGCCCTAGGAGACTTGTAGCTTGCCGCCCCCTACGAATCGAATAGACTAGCGAGACCTTCAAGACCATCACCATTTCCGTCTTCTCGGCCATCGCTAGCACCACTAGGCCTAGAGGCGTCAAAACCTCCGCTGGGGGTAGTCATGAATTGCTGCGTCATCTTACTGCGCGTAGGTCTTTTCGTTACTGAATGTTTAACTGTCGGCGTCCCGACACTCTTGTTTAACTTGCCCATTTCCGAGACGCTCACCCCTTTCAAGTCGCCCAACAGCTGCAGGATGACACCTCGCTGCCCGCGAGAACTCGTTTCGCTTCGTAACATGTACGCGATACCGCTGTCCACATCAGTGGGTTTCATATTAGGGAGCGATGCCAAGACATCTCGCGCCGTCATGGTGAAACGACTGTAGGTGACTATGGCGGTAGCAATGAGATGAGCGAAATCTTTCTGAAGCTCGACGAAATACGGTTCGTGGATAGATGTTATACAAGCCTTCACGACATCGGAAGATATGTACTCGCGGATCGCGGTGGCCGTCCCTGAGGGTATAGATGTTTGCTTAGCTCCCACGGATCGAGGTGAAGGAGACTCCCCGACTGCAAACTCGGGAACGATGGATCGGAACACTCTCAACATCATGCCGCAGCACCGAGAGTCCCTCCACCGTAACGCATGTGTACAGAACACTAGGAGAGGCTCAGCGATAGACGAGTGCATCAGACAAAACTCTCGCAACGTGGGGTATTTTGCCGCTTCATCGAGATTCGACGACCCAGCTGGACTATCTGCTTCCAGTTAGCACATGCATCATCAGAGACTTGGAGGCTAAGTTAATAACCTACTAGATCGAGCCGGATCTAGAAAATCGGCGACCATCATCACAGACGCGTAAGTCAATTGCCTGAGGATGCTCTCCGACTTCATCTCCTCCGTTAGGGCGTCTCCTCCAGATTTCACAGTCTGTTGCTGGTCAAGGTTCATCCACTCTGAATTGATCCGAGCGTCCATTTGCTGGCAGCACACCGCGAGGATCGGAGGAAGAAAATGCTCCCGAAGCGGAACTGGGCAGTTATCCACTAGGTATCTGACCAAATTCAGGACATTGATTAACTGGTGGGCTGAGAGGTTAAATGAATCCGCCAGAAGTGCGTGCGCCAGCGGCCCGGGAAGCTCATCAAAACCGTAGAACTGGACGTCTAAACGGGTCATGCCGTATATGATCGCATAGCAGGATTCTCGTACAAATCGTATAGAGCCCCGGATTGTCGAGGCCAGCCCCTCCAGCGTCAGTTTTTTTTCGAGCACGCGGGCATAGAACTCGTCTTTGCTACCTTCCGAAATGCCCGCCTGCCAGAATCTGTCAGTAAGGACACGGCCCACAATCGACCTCATTTCCGAAGGTAGGCCAGTCCATTTTTCGGGAGTGTGCGAAGCATGCGCATGGCTAGAAACGTTAGCTAAACGCACAGCACACGGCAAAAGCACACAGCAAAAGGACGGGAAAGGATGGATGATTCGCACTTTAAGAAGTTGAGGAGTTCGGGGAGGATCGAAGGAAACCCATCCTGCCACAGGGCACATGAGACCCGATGCGGGTCGGTGTCCTTATCGATCTTGTCGACAGAGCACGTTAGGAATGACTTGGTTGGGCGCAGCGGGAGGACCTGGGTACGGTTAGCAGATATCTTTGCCTACTGGATTATGCTTCGAGACTAACCGTCTGTCGTTCTTCAAGCTCAATTTGCAATGCTTGACCCTCCGCATCCAGTTCCACGGAACCCCAGTCTGAAATATTCTGCATCTGTTTCCGCGCTAGATAGCTCTGGGCTTTGTCAAGCGCCATGAGCTCGCAAAATCCAGTATATGACGACAGGGCCTGCTTTAGGCGCTCATCCCGCCACTGGGCCACCACAGGATTGATAAAACCTCGTAACTTTTGGGCCTTTGTGGATTGGTCAAGTCGAGTAGATCGATGCCTAGGGTTGTTTAGCAATTTCTCACCACCAGAGGAGCGCCCTGGTTTCGATGCTTACACTATCGTGAATAGGAATGTCTGGTAGGTGATCTGGCGCTTCTCATCAAGCGTTCCTGAGGCAATCATTTCATTCACTTTTGCCTCTATCTGATCGTAAACATCCTAAGAAGATTAGTTAGTTTAAAGCTTAGCATGCTAGGTGGGGATTGGCCTCTACAAGTAAGTGGTCTGGCATCTTAGCGGCCAGCCTCTGAAGTTCAACCATACTCTCAGACTGGAGCTCTTTGATCGCATCGGCGTATAGCCTGTGTTCGGGGTGTATTGCCGGCCAAGTCACGAGAATATGTTCTAGGACCTTTAGCATGAAGCTTGCGTTCCTATCCAAGGCAATAACGGAGAATGCGACGAGGAGTTGGAGAATTCTCTTTCGAATGAGGGGGTCCTACACCGGTGAGCTATCATTCTGGCAGGAGAGAGACGGTCCGGCAGTACACAACCTACTTCAAATTTCATCGTAAGCAGGCGATTACACCAGGACTCTAAGTTCCCTTCCAGTGAGATTATCTCATGTTCCTGATAGATATCAGCTGGGTACCCCATGAAGGTTGAGTGAGCATGCTTACGTGGCCTGGGTCATCTCTAGATACCCGCCACTTCCCGAAGCCTTTCAGAGCTGCCTCGATGACCGTGGCCTGAGCATCGATCCGGAGGACCGGTTGAGACGTCTTGGAATAATTCGCCACTGCCGCAAATTAGAACAAGTACTTAAACTCTAGATAAGTGAACCGCGTACTGTTGAAGGGAGGAGCGTCGTCATAGAGGTGCTCCAGGACATTTTCTGTCTGACCAAGGATATGCTGCATTGCGTCAGTTACCTTCAGCTGGACGATGCCCTCGATCACTTGAGAACTGTAACGCCTGTAGTTTCCGAGAAAGGCGTGACGTTCCGGTACTGTATCAGTGTCTTCCAATAGGAAGAGGAACGTAGCATCTTGGGTATCCTCTGGCAAGTTCTCATACCGAACCAGTCGTGAACTACAAAGCTCCAGGAGTGGGCCGACGATAGTAGGCATATCTGCAATGTTTGGCCCAAGGGACCGGTTGTTTAGAATACGGGTCCATGTTACGAGCACAGGGATGGAAACGACTAGACTAGGGCTCTGAGTAACCATGAGGAGGAGCTGCAGGAACCCTTGAAAATCTATGCGCTCTGGGTCATTCGGCAAAACATTAAAGCGACGATCCATATAGGTCCCAAAGAAGGAAATCAACTACGACTTGTTAGCGGACTCAGATGCGGAGGCTTGAAACGAGAACTCACCTCGGAGAGCTTTTTGGAGAATTGGTATTTATCGTCGTCTATGTCTTCCGGGTCTACAACCGACCATTCATACAGTCTTCTAAACAGATCGACGCATTTTGTATCGTAGAGTGGGACAACGAGGTCTAGAAATTCGTGATCGATGAAGGTCGTGCGTGAATAGAGGGAATGCATGGCTTCCAAACAGGCCTAGAAGAAATAGGAGGGAGGCGGCCAATCAGTTAATGAATAGTCAATACGTGATTAAGGGGGAGGTGGGTGAGCGGTGGCTTGCCTTCTGGACTTCAATATGAGGAGCGCGAAGACCCTCGCACATGACCTCGACACACCGAGTAGCCGTGACGGCATTCGGAACGATCCAGGGCATCAGAGAGTATATAACAGCGAGAGCCCGGATCGCACAACTGCGTAGTTCTGGATGATGCTGCACGTCGCCGGACAGGCAATGGCGGAGTAGCTCCGTAACTCTTCCCAGCCAACCCTCGTCCCCGCACCTAACATCAGGCCCTGCCTGTCGGTTAGGAAAAGTCTCAGTTAAGACAGCAGTAGGCGTGAAGATCTCGACAGAGGCCTTGCTAAGGACGCCTTCACGAACCGCAACCACGGCGTCGTCCCCAGCAAAGATATCGTCGGAGAGCATCTCGAGGATGCAGAGAACAAGTTCCTTGTGGACTGCAGAATCAGGCACTCGCCACAACTGGACAAGCAACGAATCCATGTCCATCCAATCGTCGGCCCAACTTCTCTTGGCAACCTCGACCCATAATGAGGCAATCTTGTTTCGGAGATAGGCAGGATCATCTCGCGAGACATTTCGAGAGAGCTCCAGAACGCAGGAGCGCAAGGCAACCGCCTGGGAGTCGGTGTACTCAGCCCACCTATGTTTGATCGCATGTTCGAGTAGTGACAACGCATAATGGCGCACGACGGGGGGTTGGGTCTTGTCAATAGCCAGGCGGAAGCCGTAGTAAGAAGCTTTCTCGTTATCTTTCACATTCTCGAGGAATATCTGGGCGTCTTTGCGGGAGTCGTTGGAGGAGAAAGGGCTGTGGATGATCTCCAAGGCACCGTGGATCTCGGGCAGGATAGACATGGTCTCAGGATCAACAGCGGTAGGGGGGTGGGCACCAACACCTTCGCCGCCCATTCCCATGTTTCCATTGATCGGGGCAGCCATGGTGTTGGGCTAAATGTCGCGAGATGTGCGGTCGGCCGACGACGATCTTGGAGGGGTGGGCGGGAGCTGTCGGTCTACCTTGTCTTAGGTGTGAATCATTAGGTAGGCCTAGGTAAGCGAGGATAGGTACAGAGGAGAGCGGATGGTGGCCGGGAATTGTCTGCAGGATTGGTTGGGGGAGAAGCTAAGGGGGAGAATGAGAGGAGGTGAGTACGATGACAGCCGGAAACGCAAGTACGGGCAAGGTAAACACGAATCGATATCGGCACGGATGAATGGGCGCAACAACGGTGTACAGAGATAAGGCAAGGCGAAAGATGAATTATGTGCCAAGGGAGAGGCGGAGAGCTGCGGGCGAGGAGGAACGGGAATGACAGCCAGATGGTCGCGCTGTGTAATATTGGAGGTATACGGTTTATCGATGGTGACGGCGATTCGGCTGCAGAGGGGAGTTCTCCCGGAAAGAGAGTGCTTCAGCTCAACGAAGAGAAATGGTGTTGTACGCGCGACCTAGCCTCGTGGGCAGATTCTGACAAACCTACCCTTTCGCAGACTTCACAAGCCGGGTTGTTCTCCACTAAAAAGGGCGGCGAAAATTCGGAAAAATGAAACTTCAGTAGATAAAAGATATTTAAAATATTTATGATATTTTACGACTTTAAAAAAAATATTTAATTGTTATTATTTTACTTAATTAATATAAAGTTAGTTTCTTATAGTTATAATTAATTTTTATTTATCTATCTTATTAACTTACTTAGATTATTTCTCTTTACTTTATAATATTTACTTTATAAATTAATATTAAATATTAAAATGAATACTTTCTTAAAAATTAATATTCTTTAAAGAAAAATTAATAATAAACTATCTTGCTTCATTAAAAATTTTTAATTTTATAAAATAAAAATTCTTAATATATTCCGGTTTTTATTACGGTTTTAAGAGCTATTCGCTAGGTAAAAGGGTATAAATTAAAGGAATAAAGCTATACGAGGAGGAAAAGAAAGAAAGGTACGCTTTATTAAGGCCGCGCCTTTAGGAGCTAGCTATATACGAGAGGAGCGGTTACGTACCTTGGTACTATACTAACTAAGGTTTTATAACTAAGCGTAGCTTATTATATAAGCTCCCTTTTCCATTAATTAAGGTATTCGAATCGTTTTTAATTAGTAGCGCTTCCTTTCCTTTTTAATTAATTAACCTTCCTCTTATTCCTCCTTTTACTCCTCCTTTTAAACCTTTCTTCTTATAATAATAATAGCTTTCCTGCTTCCGCTACTTTAACTAACGTAAGTAAACCTCCTCCTTTACGGCTACTCGTCGTTATTATATTATTACTAAGGCCGTATTTCGTCGGGATATAGCTTTTCTTTTAGTTCGCGCGTTCCGTAGGGTATTCGATTAATTCCTAGCTAACGTAATATTAGTAGATATCTTTTTCTTCGTTTCCCGATCCCTTAGGTTTTTCCGTTTCTATTTTTCGTCGTTTAGTACGACGCCTTACGTCCGCCTTTCCCGCCGACGAAGGTAGTAATAATAACGTTAGTAATATCGCCGTTATAGCGGCCCTAGTAAGGCTAGCTTCTCTCGTTTCGCTACTCCTTTCGCTTAATTACGTATTAATCGGTTTTATAACGAAAAAGCGTTTCCTTTAGCCTTAAGCCCGCCGCTTAAGAAGCTACCGCTCCTCTTTAAACTCTTATTCCCCCGCGTACGGCTACCGCCCCGCGTACGGTTACTACCCCTCGCTCGGCCGTTATCCGTCCGGTAGGTACCCGCGCTTTTCCTTACCGTCGTTACGTAAGCGCTTTACGTATTTATTACGATAAAAAGGGCCGGGGTCCGGCGTACGCGAAATACGCGATTAACGGATATAGTTATTAATCGTTATAAATATTACGTATATTTCGTATAGGTAGTTATTATTAATATCTTTTAGCCCCGCCGTCGCGCTTTTCGCCGCTTATTAATAAGTAGCCGGCCGTACTTCCGTTAGTAATTCCTACTTACGGAACGCTTTTACTTTTACTAACGCCGCCGAACGCTTACTAGCTTACGGCTTAATCGGTTCGTTAGCCTTCCTCTCTTCCTTTTTTTTTTTAATTTTTTTTTTATATATATTAACCTCCTTTTCTAAGAAGTTCGTAAACCTTATAGCCCGAGCCTTTAGCCCGGCTCCCCGCTTTAACGAAGCCGTCCTTACCGGTCCGTTTACCGTCGCCGCCGCCGCCTCCGCCGGCCCGTCCGCTACTCCCGCCGGCCCGCCCGTTACTCCCGCCGTTTCCGGCTTTAATAACGCCGCCTTTTAGCGTACGGTTTCGGCCTTAAAGGAGCGGATTAGCGCCTTAAAAGGCTCCCGGCGCTTCCGTTCCCGTTCGCCGGCCCGTTCCTCGCGTTCTTACTTACGTCCCCGCCGTTCCTAGCGCCGCTTCCGTCCCTTAGCTTCCCCTCTCTTCCTAAAGACGTTAGGTATTAACCGCGCCGCGCGCGTCCGCCGCTTCCTCGCCGTTTAATTTATCTTCGACGAAGAAGCCGAAGAAGCCGATACTTCCGAGTTTCTTCCGAGGAAGGAAGAAGACGGCGACTACGACGACGACGATTAATCGGCCTTTCCTTTCCTTTTTTTTTTTTTATAATTAAATAACGCCTTTATAACGTTTAAGAAAGAGATTTAGCCTCGCGGCCCGGTTTTTAAGTATTCCGTTTCTTAATTAATCGTAATTTTAAGTTTTCTTAAGTCGTATATTTTTTCCTTAAGCCGTCGTTTACGGTTATTAATCCGTACTTATTTTCGTAAACGTTTAATATCTCCGCTTTTATAAAATCGGATAATAGGTATTAGGATAATTCCTAATAGCCCTTTTAACGTATTAAGACTTCGCGTCGTTTTCCTTTACTTACTTTTTTATTTCTTACGTAAAGAATCTTCTTTATTATAAATTCGTTAATTCCTTCGATAAATAATAAAAAGGGCTATAAGTCGTTTCGGGTTTAGTTTAATAATTCGTTTATATACGTTTTCCGTAATTAATCGACGTAAAACTTATTATCGATCTCGGCCGGGATATCTTTTAATTCGATTACGTACGGGTTTAGTACTTTCGTAACCGTATATTTTACCTTTAATTAGTCGAACTTTTTCTTAGGTTTATCCGTATTATAATAAAAAAGATCGAGTTATACTTTATCGCTTATTTAAAGTTTTTCGGCCGGGAATCGTTTTTAGTTTACGTAGAATTCGTATTACTAAAAGGCTACGGTTAGCGTTACTTATACGAAGTTTAAAATTACGCGGACCTTATTTACGAATACCTTCGCCTAGAATTCCGGTAGTAAAGGTATTATTTCCGCGCCCGGGTCGGCGGAAACCGCGGGTACGGGGTTTAAATCGAAGCCGTATATCGCGAAGAAAGAAAAGAGCCTTATCGAGGTATTAAGCCGTTCGTTTAACGTTAATTAAACGATAAGTAGCTATTATATTTAATCGTTTTATTTATAATTAATATAGCTTCGTAATACCGCCTAGATTTCTTAATTAATCCTTTCGGAATCCTTATTTATTTAAAGGTAATATACCGTATTTAGTTTTTATTTTATATTTATTAATCGGTAAAGATAACTCTAGAAACGGCTTAGCTAATTCGATCCTTTATCGCTTATAATATTCCTTAGTTAGTTATAATATCGGACGTAGTACGTTAAAAAGCGCTTCGTATACGCTTTTACGTTTATAATAAGCGTAAGCTCGAGGATTATAATCTTACCTAAGCGGTTTTTAATTACCTATATATACCGGTTATCCTTCGATAGGAATAGGTTTACGATAAAATCTATTTATATATCCTTAAAGTAGCGGTTAAGTATAGAAAGAGGTTTAAGGAGTCCTTTTTTATATTCCCTTTATAGTTTAAAGCGGCCGTAAACGTTATAATTACGGATAAACCTCCTTACGTATTAATAAAGCATCGGTTAGTAAAAGTTTCGGCTTAGGATCGCTATAATATCCTTTCGGCCGGGGTAGCCGATAACGTATAAGTCGTAAGCTTTTTAAATTATTTTCGTTCGTAATTCGTTAAGCTAGTCCGTACCTCGGGAGTTTATTCCCGCGTTTCCGGGGGACGGACTTTTTAATACCTATATCCGGTTCTTAAATAATAACCGTTTTCCGGCGTTAATCGTATATTCCGCGATTTATACCTTTAACTTTATAATCGAGGCAAAGGAACGGGCGCTTTATTTTATTACCTAGTACGTTTATTAATATAGCGTATCGAGGTACGCCGTTTTTTCTTATAGGGACTAGAGTTTATTATCTTCGAAAATTCTAATATCGGGTCCGGCGGACTAAGACGTTATTATTACGTAGGTTTAATTTCGAAGAACCCCTTTAAGGATAAGTTATAAGTACCGTAATTCCTTATCGTTTATACTTAATCGGTTTTAGTCCTTTCGGGAAAGCGTATCGGGAACCGCGGTTTAATTATTAACGCGGTAGACGAGGTCGAAGTTATATTAGGATAGGAGCTCCGCTTAACGCGCTTATCGTTCCGAAAGGCGCTAACGGGTTATAAAATATTCGAGGTTCTTATAATCGGTTAGGATAGTAAATTTTTTATAGCTTTTTAGCTCGGCGTTTTATTATTTTAAGTACTTAATAATAATTAATATTTCCTTATCGTAAATCGGATAGTTAATTTCGGCCGGCCCTAGCTTCTAAGAGTAATAAGCTACTACTTTTCTTCCTTTCCCGGCCTATTAGGATAATACGCCGCCGAACGCCTACCCTAAGTAGTTTACTTCTAAAAACGTTAGCTTATTTAGGTCCTATTACGTTAAAATAAGCGCCGATATAAATAAGATCTTTAAGCGTTAAAACGCCTCTTCGTAGATAAGGTTTTATTTAAAGGGCTAATTTTTCTTTATTAAAGTAATAAGAAGGGCGGTAATCTCGGAAAATCCAGGGATAAATATACGGTAGTAATTAACGAACCTTAAGAAGCTTTTAACTTCTTTTATTAAGGTAAGGGCCTCTTAATTTAGTATTGTTTTTATCTTTTCCGGGTCCGTTTATACTTCCTTACCGGCGTATATAATAAACCCTAGGTACTTAATAATCGTTATTACGAACTCGTATTTCCCGGGGTCTAGGTAAAGGCCGGCTTCGTAGAAGCGCTTTAAGATTATGCGTACTTTAGCTATATAGTCCTTACGGGATCCGCTCGTATAAATAAGAATATCGTTTATATAAGCGCTAACGAAGTCGTCGAGGAATTTCTTTAAAACGTTATTTATATATCTTTAAAAGGTCGCCGGAACGCTTATTAGCCCGAAAGGTATTATTAATTATTCGAATAACCCGTATCGGGTTTTAAACGCCGTTTTAAATTCGTCGCTTTCCGCGATACGGACCTTATAAAAGGCCGCGACTACGTCTATCTTCGTAAATTACTTTACCGACGTAAGGTTACGTAAAGTATCGCCGATAAACGAAAGCGGGTAACGGTTCCCTCGAGTTAAGCGATTTAACGCCCGGTAATCGTAATAAAATCGAAAGCCGCCTTTTAACTTACGGGCGAAGAAAATTAAGGCTTTTATTTCCGAGCTACTAGCCCGGATAAACCCTTTATTTAGTAGGTCGCGGAGCGTTTTCCGTAATACTAGAAGCTTTTCCCGGGATATCTTATATAAGGAACCTTAAGGTAACGGTTTCTTTCTTCCGTTTAATCCTTTTTTTATATTAATCTTATAGTTAACGCCCGGGCGATACGGGACGAGACGGTCGGTTTCTTCCTTCTTTTATAACGGGAATAGGTCGTAAAACTCCCGTGGAATTATCTTTCGTAACTCCGTTTCCGTTTTTACGGGCTTCGGCTTTAAGGCTTTCTTTATATCTATTAAGGAAGCGGCGAATATCGACATATCCTTCGTATTTATTCCTTCTTTCTTACGGCGGCGTATCTTTTTAGTTAAGCTTATAAACGTATTAGTTAAAACGTATTAAGCTTCTTTTAACTCCTTTATAAACGGGGTCGTACGTTTTTTTCCCTTATATTATACGCTTATTCGTATTCTTCCGTATTATAATCGGTTCTCGTATAGGTACGAAACTACCTCGTTATATATCTATTACGGTTTTCCTAGAATTATTAGGAATTCTAATAACGGAATAACGTATACGTATATTAGTTACGTATATCCGTTAATCTTTAAGGCTATATAAGTAATACCTTAAATTACCGCTTCTTTTATAGCGCTTAAAGCGCCTTTAATATTATAGGAAGAAATAGGAATAAGGAATAGGTTAAGGAATCTAAATAGGTCCTTATTAATAGCTATAAAATATAGGTAACCTTCGTTTATAAGGGCTTCCGATAGCGACGTTTTATTAATTATAATTAATAATAACGAAGGGTTACTTTTTATTTTATCCTTATAGGCTTTTTATTTATTTATTACCTTCTAGCTAGGCTCCGTCGCCTAACTTTATAACGGAGCTATTCTTTTCCCGCCGTTATATTAACTAATATATCCTTTAATTCTTTTAGTAATAATTTAATAACTTATATTATCCGTACCGGTATAGGCGGGAACCGCCTTTAATTACCCGGGCGAGTAACCGGTAGGTAGGGGTAGTTCTTAACCTAGTATTAGCTAGCGCCGTAACGGAAGTAGCTATCCTAGACCTTCCTCTTTTCGTATTTCTCTTAGGGTACCTACTTTATCCGTCGGGTATTATTACTAAGTCCGTTATTAAACCCGCCGTAGGCTTAGCGGAACTTCCCTTACGATTTAATAAAGCCTATTATAATCGTATCGCCTTAAGTATTTATCCGGGCGGAGTTTAAGCGCTAAGTAGCGGATATTAATTCGTAACTCGGGGTCGCCGAATAGCGCCTATTCTTACCTAACTCCTTCGCGAGCCGTTTAAATTCGGTTATTTATTCGTAACGCTACGCGATTAAGTAGATTTAAGCGATAAAGGTATCGTAATCTTAGGATATTTAAATCGGAATTAATATATTTTAAAGGTAGTTAGATAGTATTACTTTTAGCTACGTTAGCTTATTATTATTATCCTAGCTAGAGCTTTTAGCGTTCGTTAAAACCTCTTCGAAATCGGATAGGAAGCTTCCGAAGGTCCTCCTTTTTTTACCGTAGTTTCCGTAGTTTTTATTACGCGTTCTCCTTAACCTAAATATTACCGAACGTTTCTTTTATATACCTTAATAAATCCTTAGGCTAAAACCCGTTCCTTAAATCGCCGGATCTCTAGAAGTATTTTATTTTCCGCTACCGATCCTCGGGTATCGTACCGAAAATAAAGTACTATATCGCGTTATTATTACCGAGTAAGCCGTCCGAAACGTCGATTAAGATTTTCGCTTATAGCTTTTCTAAGTAGAAGTAAAACGATATAGCCTTTTCGTTTTATTCGTATTACTTAAGAGGTTTTCGTTAAGTTCCGTTTACGTCCGTAGGTAAGGTAACTATAACCTTAAGTACGGGTACGGATACCGGTAGTACGGATACTAAGGAGTTATTTCGTAGGAAATCGGTTATATATTCTCTTATAGAATTTAGGAAGTAAGGGTCTTATAATAATACGTAGTAAGCTAGCGTCGCCTCCTAAGCGCTCGATTACGCCTAGGCCTTAGACTTATCTTCCGTTATTTAAGAGTCGGATATCGGATATTTAGGTATTAACCTTACGGAGAAGATGGTATAGCTTTTTATTACGGTTTTAAGAGCTATTCGCTAGGTAAAAGGGTATAAATTAAAGAAATAAAGCTATACGAGAAGGAAAAGGAAGAAAGATACGCTCTATTAAGGCCGCGCCTTTAGGAGCTAGCTATATGCGGGAGGAGCGGTTACGTGCCCTGGTGCTATGCTAACCAGGGTTCTATGACTAGACGCAGCCTATTATAGTTTTAAAAGCTATTCGCTAAGTAAAAGCCGTATATTAACGATTTAAACCTTAATGAAGAGAAAAGAGGGAAAAGTATACCTTATAGGCCGTACTTATAATAGCTAGCTTTATTCTCCGTAGGTACAAAGAGACTAGTTACGTGCTTAGCCCTAGTACTAGCCAGGGTCTTATAATAGGCATAGCTTATAATAGAGCTAACGATTACTTTATTTCTATAACCGAAGAGTAGACCTAAGATACGATAACTACATTAGATTCATTATCTTTTAATTAATAAAGTAATATTAATTTTATATATCTTAGATTACCGTACGCGTGTAATGGGCTGCGCCTAGTTATAGAACCATGGTTAGCATAGCACCAGGACACGTGACCGCTCCTCCTGCATATAGCCAGCTCCTGGAGGCGTAAGCTCAGCAGAGTACACCTTTCTTCCTTTTCCTCCTTGTATAGCTTTATTCCTTTAATCTATACCCTTTCACCCAGCGAACAGCTCTTGAAATCGTAACAACGCGCTATAGTTACCAATAGAATATACTTCTATAAAATACGTCGAAGCGCTTCGTGCTTCTTTAGGTTTTCGTACCGAAAACCTAGAACCTTTCCAAAGACTAGGGAAAAAGAGGTAAGTAGGAATCAACGCTTAATTTAACTACAAAAAGAGATTAATTAGCAATTAACTCTTAATTAAACGGGGAGAAACTAACTTGGATTGATTAATTTATATATAAATAGGATTAAAATATATAGGAAATCGACGCGTTAGTAAGTAAATAATAATATATAGATCCCGTCTCGTATGTTACGGTTTTATTAGATATATTCCTTTTAAGCAGACTATACGAACTTTTAACTAATTAAAATAGCGTATATGAACATTCAGTTAATAAAAATAAAGTATTTCTTTAAATAACTCTATATTTATAAGGATATTTACAAAGGTATTTGCCTCTATAAATTAATTAGCATAATAGAGGGTTTAACGTATTATAACTATTCTCTAGATAAGATAAGCTATATAGGATTCTAGTATCGTATATGCTTTAATTTTTTATAATATATAATATTATATACAGTAATGAAATTAAAAATTAAATATATAATTTATTACTTTTTTTATAATGTAGTGGTACAGTGGATCTAGGCTACGTAGCCTTTTCGATATCTATTTATATGAGTCGCGCACTCATATTTTCATCAGTCAGACTTAGACCTGTAGATATCACGACCTATAGCTATTCACTTGTTTCTTGCCATGCCTTTCTAGCCATCCTCGTTACCTGTTTCTAGTCTCTCTCTCCTCTCCTTTTCCCTTTCCCAGCTGCCGTTTTCAGCTGGCCGATCAACCGATTACAGCTATTTACAGCTGTGATCTTAGTTGATCGGCACTGGGCCAGTTGTTAGCAGTTAGGTAGCCCTTTTCGTGCCTCCGTCAGCGTGCCTACGCTGCTCCTATTTAATAATTATAAGTATATTCTTTCTATTTATATATATATATATATATATTTCCTTTTATATAGTTTTTAATATATACTTTTCTACTTTATAAAACGCTTCTAAACCTATAATACTTTAATATTAAAATTTTTAATTATTTAGTAAAGTTAACAAATAGAAAGTCAACACTATGAATCCTACTTAATATATATATAAAATAAAAAGGCTTAGAATTAATACAACGGTCTCTATTGATAGAGAGACTATTTCAAGTACCTAAAATAAGTGTTACTAAAATTCCCATAAGCATAACAACCTATCATAAAAACTCGTTGATATGCACCGAAGCCTCTGGCCGCCCTCATCAGGCAAGGGCTGGAAATCGCTGCTGTAGTTCATGCTTTGGTGTTCTTCAAAGCGACCGAGGATATCGATTCTACAATATCCCGTGTTATCGCCTACCACTTCTAGCACTCGCGGTCCGGCATGCATACAAGAGGCTAGAATAAGCAACGTCCACTGTTGCTTCTCGCCTAGTCCTCGGCCCTCTTGTTCCAGCTTAACCAGTTTGAGCCGCCACACACCTCCACACAGATCCTGTTCAGCTAGCACCCGAGGCCTCTGGAGAGACGCTCCCTGGGCGGGGCTAGGGACGGAGTACACTCTTATATGGTCATCATAGCTCCCAGTGACGACTAACGATCCCCCATCGGTAAGCCGTAATCCTAACGGCAGTATGGCAGTAACACCTGCTTCATGGCCCTGGATGGCAGCCACAGGCCAACGTGTCCGAACGGTGTTGCCTTCAATGTTACCACGAACCCGTTGGTACGCGCAACTGGCGCTTAGAAGTTTAGAGTCGTCGCCGCCTGAGAATATCGTGAACAACTGTGGTTCTTCCTCCCCCTCTCCAGCTGACTTTGACGCGTGGCCTTCTACAAACGACGAGAATGCCACCGTCCAAGCTTCGAGGGAATGCGTCATCAAGGGTGTATCGTGTGTTTGGTGGATGTCCCAATGCTCATCCACACGTAGAATATGGACCTGGCAGTTAGAGGTTGTGATGGCAAGCAGCTCAGGAATACTAGGGTGCCAGCAGCACGAGAGGATTAGTACACCCTCGTCATCGCCTAATGGCCTGTGTGTGGCGATCTCGTCTAATGTGGCTGAATATTCACCAGAAACGGAAAGGTGAAAGAAAGAGAGAGTGCCGGTGCTTGAAACAACGGCTGCCACCTTTCCTCCCGCCCAGCGAGGATGGAAGTGGAGATCGAGGATAGCCGATGGGTAGCTGACCGTTCGTATCTGCCTTCTGTTTAATGGTTAACACGGAAGCCGAGGGGACGGGAGCATGGAAACAGGTAAAGGACTTACATATCCGCACTGCCGGTTAGTCTAAACACGACGAGACTACCATTCCGAGCCTGAATTCTCTTCTCTTTCCGAGGCGGTTCTTCATCATCGCCAGGCGCAGGAGGGGCGGCTGCGTCTGGCGTTTCAGGGTTCTCCAGGTTGTACGTGCCAACGATGAAATAATCTGCATGCGCGGGGCAGAATTCGATGCAGCTCGGGGGTAGATCCAAAGTCAAGGACCGTAGCGAGGTGAGACTACGACCTGGCGTATCCATTTCTCCTTTCGTTGCCGCCTCTTCTAGGACGATGTTGGGACAGGCTCGTTTCCTTCGCCGTGGACTGCCAAACCCACAGGTACATGGGTACGCAGTTACATACATAGCAGCGGGCAGGTGCCTCCTATCATAGCGACATGGGTAGGAACAAGGTTGAGATCTCCGACCCCTGTAGCTGCCTTGTAACCTACCCATGCCTACTTTTATATACATGCATCCCATACCGGCGGGAGGTGCTCTCTCCTCATAGCGGCTCGATACCCGCAGGTAGGTATCTAGGTAGGTACCTATGTATGTGCTTATGTACACGTATGTACATGTAAGTTGACGGCACGGCAGTCGAACCTTTGTTGGTTTCGAGAGACAATTCGATGGGTGTAGCGGGGTAACATCCGGGTAAGCCCCAGGTATGTACCTAGGTACCTAGGTAACACAGGTAGCTTAAGTAACATAGGTACCTAGGTACCCAACCTCTTGAGCAGGCGCACGCACTGCCCACCTCATCAGGTGCTTACCACCTGAGGTACGTAACATAGGTACACATAGAAGGTACCTAGGTACTTACCTGGGGGGTAGGAGGTACCTAGGTAGGTACCTATGTAGGTGACAGCTCGTTGTTGGTTTGCGTGGCTGCCTCGCGCCTTGTGAGAGGTCATTTTTTACGTACGCCGCGCATAAGCCTCGCTAGGGCAAAAGCGGGCAGAAGCAGTGGGTTGGTGGGTGACAATGGTAGGTAAGTGGACGGTACTATCGTATGTGCGCGTGCGTAGGATTGGAGGTCCCTGATCTGGTGGTAGTTTGGATAGTCCTATCACACAGTATGCAGTATACTCTACTCATACCTACCTACCTGCCTACCTACCTACATAGTAGATAAAGGCACCCATCGCAGCGGACGGGCTCGGAAAACATCCCGTTATTTAGCCACTTCTACTGCGCGACCCAGTAAATCGTTAGCATGCCTCTCGTTAGTGCCCGGGGACCTAGCTCAAGGCTTAGCTGGGTACATAATCAACTCTTCCTCCCGAGGACGATGACGGCTGTGACCTTGACGAGACTTTGGAGTATCCTGCGTCGCGATCCAGCCTCCTCGCGGAGATCATATTCCTGGTCTTTATCTACCAATCCGCTATTCATCCCTTCTTCCATCCTAAGTCTTGGTCGAAAGCGGGCCGGGTCCGGTTTCCAGAAGTCTTGCTTGATTCTACCATCTCGTCACCGTCCTAATATTAGCGGTTTCCGTGAGTTATTCTGTATATTTCTCTTTTCTTTCCCTTACCGGCTGCGCTTGACTTTTGCATCACAGTAAACAGGTCACTTTCCCTTTTTTCCCCTTCTTTTTCCAAAACCTCGGCGGGGGACCCCCTCCCCGAGCAAAGAAAGCCACATTCTTACTGAAACGCAGACATGGGTTCAGACGAGTCTGACTTCTACGGTGAACCATCCTAAATCTATCCCGCCTTACCCAAACCCAAAGCTAACTTTCCGCTCTCAGGCGACGACGACACCGTGGCGGATCTCAAGGCCGAAGTGAAAACGTTTGACGTCAAAGCTTGGTGGGCGGAGTATGGCAAGGTCGACACACCTCTAAAGCTTCAGGCTGGAAAGCAGCCGACGGTTGACCTCTCCCGCTGGCATAACCCTTACGCTGGAGTGGAGCATGCTTGGCAACATACCGAGACAGTCGAGGAGTTTTTAAAGCGACTTCCCCCGGCAACAACAGAGCAGACACCGTCGAACTCTTGGGTCTGGATCTATAACCCGTATATCAAGCACAAGAAGAAGAGCGAAGCGGACAATGAGATGATCCGTGGCGGTGAGGACGAGGTCCCCGAGGCGGAAGGGGCAGACCTCTCTCGGGTTGTTGCAGGAGGGATGGAAAGACTGCATTTCGCGTCCGACTATATCGATATGTGCAAGAAATCCAGCGACGATCTGGATTACATCGCTCGAGAATGCCGAAAAGCAGGCTTGGACGCGGCGAAGGATATTTTAGATCTCGCGAAAGCACACCATGTGACATGCGGAAAAGTGGGTGAGCTGCCTCGTTTCGAGGGCGCGAGTCCATGAGGTATAGTGTCGCTAATGCGCACGCACATGATTGATAGTGGATGCTCTTCTGTTCCGCCTTCCAGGTCAACGAAGTATGGGGTATCATCGCCAACGCGACGGCTAACAATGAGCTCGGGATCGCTGCCAAGGCCGCGCTGCGGTCGACGGATGATCCCAGGACATATCAACTCATTTGCGTCTACACTGCCGATTTTAGCGACGCCAAGGACGTCAAGAGAGTGGCCGAAAAGTTGAAGCAGCTCGGGCTTGTGCAACCGAGAGGGCGACCGCTGTACTACAAACCCGGTAAGTCTGTCTTGATCGTAAATAATCCTCTCTGCCCCGGAACGCTTACGGGACCAGATGTGTACACGTACCTAGGCATTGCCCAAGGTAATCCTTGGGACATAAAGGCCTCTATATATGACACGACATCCATGCTCGAGAAACGTAGGGAAAGGTGACCAAGACGGAAGAGGGCAATTTTTATGAGCGCTCATGGGATAATGACTGGATGAATCGAAAAACGCGCCTGATGGTCGAAGGTCTGCTTTCAAGATAATGCTGGCCCGGAAACCCCCACAATAAACATCCCAAAGCCTGTCAGTAGCCCCTTCTAGTACTGGCAATGCATTGTCCCTCCGCGGCATGCTTGTCTTGATATTGATCCATTCCCCGATGCCTTCTGCCAGGGCGCGATCATAACCCAACCAGTCTAACATCCTTACCGGAGTATCCCCTAGGCGTCGCCAGACACGGCGCGGAGGGTATGCCTCTCTTCCACGCTCGCACAACAGCTTAAAGAGCAGCCTGCCTCAGAACAGAAATGGGGCTGCCGGGCTAATCCGAGAACTCAACGATATACCGGCCCTTCGGGGTGCTAGGTGACTTCGGAGCTTGTCGGTTTCAAGATCAACACGAGCCGATAGGCACTGTTCCCGTTCAAATAGTAACGGTGCAATTTCTTCGACCTTAGGAAGCCGAGCCCCTCGTATAGTCTCATGGCCGGCACGTTGGTTTCCTCGGTCTCTAGAACGACCTCGTCGGCATTGCGTTCGGCCATCGCATCAATCGCCATTCTAACCAGGGCCGTCGCTATGCCGCGTCCGCGGAAGACAGACGACACCGCCAGCATGGCTATATAGCCCCTATGAGTCCGAGGCGAGTGTGAGACATGGTGCTCGAGCTTGCAGATGATGACACCCACGAGGGACTTGTCGACGGGGTGCAGGGCCTAGTTGGGAACCCCCCCCCAAAAGCATTAGCTAGACGCCTCGCTTCGCATTGGTGAAGGTGACACAGATACCAAGCCGTACCATGTAGCACAAGTGAGCCCATTGGTATAAGAAATACCGATATACGTAGATGCTGTACGGTTCGCTGAGGTCCTTGGAGATCAACGCCCGGATGGAGGGTAGGTACTTGTCCTCGAGAGCATGATCGTACTGAATATACAGAAGTTCGCCAGGAAGCTCACTCGGGCGGGTTACCTCCATAGCGTCGGCGATGGCCGCATGTAGATGCGAGGCTGATAACCACGACTGGAGGCGCCAACGACTATCGCCGCGATTCAGGGCATAGGCCAACTCTCCGACGCCAACCTGACGGGAGAAAAAGGACTGGGTTCCCAGCGGGAGGGAGGTAGGCCGGCGGGAGAGAGTTGGCGGTTGACAGAATGGCAAAAGGCGTGCAAGGAACGCGACACGGGCCACACGAAGTAACTCGATGTTGGGAAGGGTAAGGCAGCCGTGCAGGTTAAGACCGTAAAGCCAGACTCGAGACGGAGAAGTTTAGTATGAGGTGGGACGATAAGAACGGCCCGCTTTCACATGCCGGCTGAGAAGTTTTGCTGTTAGCAAGGGTAAGCCGAGCCCACACGCGAGTTAATTTTTTTTTTCTCTCTCGCTCTCCTCCTTCCCTTGCTCCGCTCCGTCTCCGCTGGTGTCGAGGTATGCGTCTGCGTGTCTGTCCGCTAGAGGTGCTGAGGCTAGCTGACGACCTGGCCGACGCTGGCGGGCACTACACCTACGTTAGATACGCAGGGATGCGAGAGGGATACAAGGCGGGTGGGCGTGTCTCGGACAGACAGGAACATCGGTATATAGAGCCGCGGGGGTTGCATCGGAGTTCGGAGGGGAAAGACATGGCTGGGCCAGTACTACTAGCCCCCTCTGTATTACTCATAGTAGGTACCTATATGTAGAATGCCCAAGGTTAGGCACCTAATCTAGGTAGGTAGGTAGGTAGAGGTACGCACCCGGTACCTCCGACGATGGCCCGGCGCATACATGTGATGAGAGACAAGAATCGCCGCCCGGTACTGAAACGTCGTGCCCCCTAGCTCTCTTGCAGAGTCGGTGCCGGCAGCCAGCCCACCGCCAACTCGGAGGGCACAGGTACTATGAACACATAGAACTTGAATTCTCCTACAGGCCTGCAGGGAGAGGAGGCCAGGGACCCAGGGCGGCACACACCCTGCCCATACCATACCTAACCGGGTGCCGTCGCAAATTGACGTCAAGCTGTTGCAAATTGTCCCTTGCTTGCGCCCCCCCCAAGCGGGCGCCGTCGCCAGCCAGCCGCTACGACCCTAACCCGGCAGACTGTATCATCATCCACTATATCCATCCACTATCCACATCCACTAAGTGACCTTCAGGCAAATGGATCTTGCCCGCCCCAGCTGAGGTAGCTGCTTATCTCCCATCTTGTCTCCCCAGTTCCCTGGTCAGCCAGACCCGACTTCTACATACCTATTCGTTCCCGCTTTCCGGCGCCCGATCAAGAAGATCGCTGTCCACCAACACACGTAGCCGCCCGGCAGGCGCCTCGCCGATCTACCCCCGGTCCACCCCCGGCCTACCTGAGCTCGTTCGTTGGTGGCCGTCGATAAACCCACTCTCCCCCACCGCGCGTTCCGTGCCCTGTCATGTAGCCCCCCGCCTCGTGATGGCATCCACTCTTAGACGTCGAGCACCCGGTGTCGACTCCCCCGAAACCTCTTCGCCGGTTCCGACGCCGAGAGACGATAGCCCCGCCAAGTCGGATGACAACAAGATCGAGGTTGTCCGCCATGAGTACCGCCCCAAGACACGGAAGCGCCGGAACACCTTCATTTTCCTGTTGGGCAGCTTGTTCGGTCTCATCGCTGCCGGATTCTTGGCCCAGACCAATGACCTGATCGAACTTCCCGAGATCGGCGAGCTTAGCATGGATAGCCTCCTCGACGTCTTGCCAGCCGGGCTAATCAGGGACATGACAGACCTCCTCGTACGTTCACATACCTGCACCTCGCTCCGAATCACTTTAGGGCTGCCCGGATTAATCGATGTTTCAAGAACGGCGAGCGGGATTTTATCGATAGTTACGATTCCTTCACTGTAGGACTTAAAAGTCGCGCCGAGGGTCTCGGTGTCCACCATCCCGTTATCATGGTCCCTGGCGTTATCTCGACTGGCCTCGAATCGTGGGGCACTACCAATATATCTCGTCCGTATTTTCGGAAGCGGCTCTGGGGCAGCTGGACCATGATGAAGGCACTCGTCTTGGACAAGGACACGTGGAAGAAGCACATCATGCTGGACAAGAAGACGGGGTTAGACCCGCCGGGCGTCAAATTGAGAGCCGCCCAAGGCTTCGATGCTACCGACTTCTTCATCACCGGGTACTGGATATGGAGTAAGATCCTCGAGAATCTGGCGTGTTTGGGGTACGATCCCACCAACTCGTTTACGGCCGCCTACGATTGGCGCCTATCCTATCCGAACCTCGAGGTTCGAGACCAGTACTTCACCAGGTTGAAGAGCTACATTGAGATGGCGCATGCGTTCTCGGGCGAGAAGGCGGTTCTCACGTCTCATAGCATGGGCAGCCAGGTCCTCTTTTATTTTTTCCACTGGGTGGCATCCGCGCAGGGCGGTAAGGGGGGTGACGATTGGGTTGACCAGCATGTCGAAGCTTGGATAAACATTAGCGGGTGCATGCTTGGCGCGGTCAAGGATACTACAGCGATTCTGTCCGGGGAGATGCGCGACACCGCCCAAATGAACGCCTTCGCACTATACGGGCTGGAACAGTTTCTCAACAAAGACGAACGGGCCGAGATATTCCGTGCCATGCCGGGCATGTCCTCTATGCTGCCAATCGGGGGGGATGCGGTCTGGGGAAACTCGACGTGGGCACCGGACGACCAACCCGGCCAGAAACATTCTTTTGGATCATTCATAAACTTTCGGCGCGGTGTAAATTGGACTACCCCAGAAAAGAATTTCACCGTCAGCGACGCGATGCGGTACCTCATGGACACAACCGAAGACTGGTACCGGGACCAGATCATGGAGAGCTATTCCCACGGCGTAGCTCACACCTCCGCCGAAGTCGAAGCTAATGAGCTAGATAGTCGCAAGTGGATCAATCCGTTGGAGACCAGGCTGCCTCTGGCGCCTAACCTCAAGATCTATTGCTTTTACGGAGTAGGAAAGCCGACAGAGAGAGCATACTACTACCGCACCCCCGAGTTCCCAGCATTGACCAATCTCAATATCACCATTGATACGGGGCTTACCATCGACGAGGTCGATCACGGCGTCATCATGGGTGAAGGCGACGGCACCGTCAACCTTCTAAGCACTGGGTACATGTGCTCGAAGGGTTGGCACATAAAACGGTACAACCCAGCAGACGTCAAGATCACCGTAATCGAGATGCCACACGAACCCGAGAGGTTTAACCCTCGGGGAGGTCCCAATACGGCGGACCACGTCGACATTTTAGGAAGACAGACGCTTAACGAGCTTGTCCTGAAGGTTGCGGCCGGCAAAGGCCATTTGATCAATGACTACATCGCTAGCAATATCCGGGAGTACGCGGATAAGGTCAAGATTTACGAGGAAGAAGAAGAAAGGTGAGGGAGGGACGGCATGATTAGGCTTATCTATCTAGAGTCACTATAGTTATAAAATAAGTGGAAGTACTCCGCGCTTCTCTACGTTTTCGTGCCGAAAACCTAGGACCTCTCCGAAGGCTGGGGGAAAAGAGATGAGCAGAAACTAATGTTTATTTAAACAGTGAATAGGAGCAGCGTGGGCACGCTGTTGGAGACCCCGTAAGGCAATGGCTACCCAACTGTCAACAACCGGCCCAGTGCCGATCGAACTAGATCACAGCTGCAAACAGCTGTGATCAGTTGATTGGCCAACTGAAACGGCAGCTGGGAAAGGAATAAAAGAATAGAAAGACTAGAACGAGGTCGAAGGTGTGATAAGAAACGAGTAAATTGCTGTAGGTTGTGATGTATATCCTTATACGAAGGATAGTTATAAGACGTCAAACCCCCTGTTATGCTAATTAATTACGAGGTTAAATACCCCTGTAAATACCTCTATAAATGCAGAGTTATTTTAAGGGATACTCTATTTTTATTAACTGAAAGTTTGTATACGCTATTTTAATTAATTAAAAGTTTATATAACCTATTTAAAAGGAATACATTTAATAAAATCGTAGTATACGCGTCTATCTATTTACTGAATAGGAGCAGCGTAGGCACGCTAACGAAGGCACGAAAAACAAGGACTGCCTAACTGCTAACAACTAGCACAGTGCCGATCGAACCTAGATCACAGCTGTAAACAGCTGTAATCAGTTGATCGGCCAGCTAAAACGGCAGCTGGGAAAGGGAACTAGAATGGTAGGGTAACGAGGATGGCTTTCTAGAAAGGCATGGCAAAAGGAGTGAATAGCTATAGGTCGTGATGCCTACAAGTCTAAGTCTAACTGATGAAAATATGAGTGCGCGACCCATATAAATACGCATCTAAAAGGCTACGTGGCCTAGATCCACCGCATCACTACATTACCTATTAACGTGTTTAATTCTATTTCCTACCTATCACGTAGCTGGAGGGCTACGTGTGCGAGAGTACGTGTGAGGAGCTATCTCACAGCAACGAGAGGAGGAGCGAAGAGTGAAAAGGTCTTCGATCTATTTAAGAACGAGCTAAAAGAGTGGAAGCAACGGGAGCGTATATATAGGAGCTCCTGTTGCTGAGGTAAGCAACGAAGAGGAGCAACCTAAGGAGCTACCTCTACGTAACACTACCTATTTTAATACTATTTATATATAGATCAATCGAGGTTAATTTCTCCCCATTTAATCTAGATTAGTTTCTCCCTATTTAATCTAGGTTAGTTTCTCCTTGTTTAATCTAGGTTAGTTTCTCCTTATTTAATTAAAAATTAATTATTAATTAATCCCTTTTCGTAATCTAAACGTCGATTCTTATTTGCTCCTTTTTCCCTAGCCTTTAAAGAGGTTTTAAATTTTTAGTATAAAAACTTAAAGAAGCGTAGAGTGCTTTAACGTATTTTAAATTTAAGTTTAATTAATGAAAATCTAAGTAGAAGACCTATATAAATACTTATTGAAAAGGTGTTACGTAGCTGGCGAGAGCTACGCTTGGGTTGATAGGTTGTTCGTAAAGGGAGTAATGGAATGCGGGTAAGAAGGTATGTATTAACTAACTAGAAAAGAAGGAAAGCTACTAGAGAGTATAGAGTAATCTATAGATATAGATAGTAGTACTTAATTAGCTTAGGTAAGCTAGGTAGTTCCTATTAGGGGTATATGCTTACGTAATATACCTCCTAGTTAAGCTTACGATAGTAAGGTTAACTATAGTCCTTTACTCGCGATAATAGCCTAAGGGGATCGCTCCTTAGTCTCGCTATGCCTCGTTAAGGTTAATCGATTACTAAGTGCCTTATTTCGGGCTTCCTTATATTTCTTTATCCGTATATGCTCCGGTTTATTACTAGTAATATTTTCTCCTAAGTTATATGCTTTTCGTATTCCTTATTTAGTATTCTATAGTTTATTATAAATGAAAATTATTACTCGTATAATTACTTATATAATTACTCGCTTTCGATTAAGCAGTAGTTAGCTATATATATAATATAATAATAATTACTCTAATATTAATACTAGGATTTAATTTCCTTGATTACTATCGCGCGCGTTCGCGCGCGTTACTCCTATTAACCGATTCTACAGTTTTTCTTACGAAGGCGGTTAAGTATAAATATATCTAAGATTTCTCGCTCTCGAATTAAACGTATTTCTTTCTCTTCCTTTTTCCCTTAAGTTATTCGTCGTAAGTATATATTATAGTGGTACGGTAAGACATGCCCTCTTAATATATTACGTAATACGTTACGATAGGCCTTATGCCTATATAGAGTAACTATAGCTTCCGTAAGTACGGGATATGCTATACTTATTATTTAGTTTATTACCTAGCTAGATTACTATCTTTATTATTTTTACCTTAATTAAAGATTCGTTTTTATTATTAGATTCGTCGTTCTCCGATTAGTATATTTATTTTAATTATAGACGCTTAAGTTACTTCGTCGTACCGCTATAACCGAATAAGTAACTTTTCCGTTTTGCCTCTTTTCTTTCCTTACTTTTTATACCTTCGGGTTAGCGACTATTATATCTCTACGACTAAGGGGCATAGCTAAGATACGATAACTATATTAAATTCCTTGCCTCTCGATTAATATAGCGATATTAGTTTTATTTATCTTAGATTATCGTACGTACTATAGTCTTCGATAGAGTATACTTTCGAGTAAACCTATCTAGGTTTTTAATATCGCGTACGTTCTACTTCTCTTTAGTAGCGACTACCCTATAACTTTTTCGACCCCTTAACCTTTAGTCTACGGAGTTTTTATTACGTTATTAGGATTTAAAGGATACCGATCGCCGTCGGCGCCGCTATTTAACCCGCGAAATAGCCCGCGTTTTACGTTAAATAAAATATCCCGCTTTATAGTTATTTATTTATTATAGGAAGGTACGTATAAGCCCGGGAACTTTTATAACGATATTATAGTTATTAGGATAACGCTTAACCCTTAATACTTATAACGCTAATAAGCTATCGATACTACGATATAATACGATAACTAAACCGCGTTTATATTAATTAGGATATCCTTCGTATGGTTATTTATTTACTATACGGAGGAGCCCGTGAAACCCGGGAGAACTTTCGTCGTAATATTACCGTTACTAGGGATAGCATTTAGCCTTCGATACTAACCGCTTCCTCGAACCGCTAATAATATAGTATATTTCGTACGAGTAAATAAAGCTTATAGCGATTAAGGTAGCCTCCTTATAATTATTTATCTACTATATAAACTAAACGTATAAACGCTTTAGCATAAATTACAATAACTTATACGACCCGCTGCTTCCTTATTAATACTAAGGGTAGATAAAGGCTAATAATAATTATACCCTAACCGATATTACGATAGCTTTTTTTTTCCCTTTAAACCTATTAATCGATATAGACTAAATATATAAATATTAATAACTTATTATATTAAAGGCATTTTAAGATACTTAGGCGTAACGATTTAACGATATAGTATACGATATGTTACGTAAAACGTAGACGCCTATATTTACGCTTTGCGGTATGTAGGCTTATATAGGCTGGTTTAATTACTACGTGATATATCCCTTAGTTTTTAAATACCTCTAGTAGGTAGGTTAATAACTACTACGTCCGACCGCCTTTTTAGGGCCCCTCGTAGAGAATTAAACCCCCTATCTCTTGGCGCGACGGACGCCTTACTGCTAGTTCTAGTCTAGCTCTAGGGCTTTACCGCGTAAGGGGCTGCGTTTGTTACGCTCGTATACGCGTAATTAAAGGAACCGAACTACTAAGCTATAGCACCTTGGAGCGCTAACCGGGCTCATAACTGTTACGTAGCTGGCGAGAGCTAAGCTTAGGTTAATAGGTTATTCGCAAAGAAAGTAATAGAATAAGGGTAAGAAGGTATATATTAACTAACTAGAAAAGAAGGAAAGCTATTAGAGAGTATAGAGCGATCTATAGGTATATATAGTAGTACTTAACTAGCTTAGATAAGCTAAGTAGTTCTTACTAAGGGTATATACTTACGTAATATATCCCTTAGTTAAGCTTACGATAATAAGGTTAACTATAGTTCTTTATTTACGATAGTAACCTAAAGGGTTATTCCTTAGTCTCGTTATATCTCGTTAAGGTTAATCGACTACTAGGTACCTTATCTCGGGCTCCTTTATATTCCTTTATCCGTATATACTCCGGTTTATTACTAATAGTATTTTCTTTTAAGTTATATACTCTTCGTACCCCCTACTTAGTACTTTATAGTCTATTATAAATGAAAATAATTACTCGTATAATTATTCGTATAATTACTCGCTTTCGATTAAGCGGTAGTTAGCTATATAAATGATATAGTAGTAATAATAATAACTCTAGTATTAATACTAGGATTTAATCTCCTTTATTACTATCGCGCGCGCTCGCGCGCGTTACCTATACTAACCGATTCTGCCGTTTTTTCCTACGAAGGCGGTTAAGTATAAATATATCTAGGATTTCTCGCTTTCGAATTAAGCGTACCTCTCTTTCTCCCTTTCTTCCCTAGGTTATTTATTATAAGTATATACCCCTAACTATAATTAAATAATTCCATTAATTACGTAATCGTAAGCTAATATAATTAATAAAGCTTCGTTAATTTATTATCGTAAGGTAAGTTTACTTCCTTTATAATCTACGTAAAGCGTAGCTTACGTATTATACGAATCGTAATATACTTTTATTAAACGACCGTAAGATAATAACTTAACTTATTACGGTAAGAGTTATTATTTACGATTAATATATTACTTTTAATATTAGAATATCCTAGGATAATAAAGCGATCGTTAGTTATTTTATATTAATAAGTAAGAGGTTATTTAAAATAATTCGTTTATTATTTATTCGTTATTTATCGATAGTAATATAGTACCGTAATTAACGATCTCTTAATATATCCGATACTTAAAAGCTTCGTAAGATAGTATTAGCGCTTTAAGGTACCGTAGCTTCGCTAGAGTAAAGGATACTCGGCCTTTCCGCCGCGAGCTCCTAGCCTATCTCCCGTATTCGTACGGGAGGTAGCGTTAGAGCTTCGGCCGGTAGCCCCGCTCGCCGTAGAAGGATATCTTTT